GGGGGGATTGGATGTGTTCCCTGGGGGGGGTCAAGATGTGGCAACATTTCCCACTCCTCCTTCCCCTCCCTGGTCCAACCTCTGTTTTTTCTCTGTCTGTCTCCTGTCTTCTCCTCCTGTTTGCTCAGGATCTCAATGTACTAGTTCAAACATTGTTCCCACCAGCTGGCTTGAGCTGCGCCATATGCACGCCCTGTCAAAGCAACCGTTGTCATGGATACTGGCAAGCTCCAGAATGAAATGAGGACCCGTGGTTCTTAAGGAAGTGTCGCTCGCCGCCTGACTTTCATTTTCCATCGCCTCCTCGATTCAAAAACGACACAAAACGACAACAACAACAACAAAAGCACAAAAACCTGTGAAGTTGTTGTGGCGCTCCAGCGTGATGCTTGTAGGCCGGCGCAGAACAAGCTATTCTGCTGCGAGGAGCCTCCGTCTGTGCAGAGTGTTCTTTACCGCCAGCCTCTCTTATGTGTCTCTTGAAGAATCATGTGAAGTTGCTCGCCAAGCCTCCACGGAGCAGGAGGGGAGCTGAAAGCCCATGAAACCGTAAAGAAGTAACCGCATCCTCAGTGTCTTTGATTCTCATCAGTCTGTTTTGTTTTTAACACGTTGTGTATTAATAAGCAAATCTATTTACTCGGGGTGTTGCACACAATCTCATGAGATTAATTCCACTTGTTACCGCTGTACTGAGTTGTCTTTTGTTGTCGTTTGGTGATGTGTTAGCTTGACATCCTATTGATTCCTATATTCAAGTAAGAAAGGTATAAGTCCTTGAAATGTCCTGTTGTGTTGATAGAGTTTCTCTTTGGGCAACACTCAACTACCGTATCTGACTATTAATGTTGATGCTTTGCATATGCTTTGTAGTTTCCATTTAGCAATAAGCTAAAGGGCTTTTTTGACCTTTTAAGTGACCTTGGTGAAGCTTTATGCTTCCAGAACCCTGATTTTGTTTTGGGAAAGACAAAAAAGGAGCCTTTTTGAATACTTTTTGTTTTAGAAACATATTGTTCTCACAATTTGACATTTATAGCTGTATCCAAACTGCAATGGAGTATTCAATGATTAGATATGTGTAAAAACACAGTTTAGGATCTGTGAATCTTTTACTTTAAGTGAAAATTATTTTTTTTTTTTAAAAGGGGGGGATTCTCATGGTTTTCCAAACTGTTGCTCAAATCCGGTCTAGTTCATGTGAACGCAACATCGCATATCATTTTCCCGTCTCAACACGTGTTGGTGAAAAATCGTACAGTTTGCCACGGCGAACTTCAAATACTTCCAGACATGTGTAAACAGCTGTGTAGTAATTTTTTTTTTGATTCATCAAGATGGTGAATCTATTAATCTCTCCATCTATCTACCCATCCGCGGCACATAAGCACCCTTAATGCACAGTGTAAAACGCGGACTGCCGGTTAATTCATTCTAAATGTAATCTGATGTTGATTTTGTCAACTTTAATTACAGCTCCCAGGGACACTTCACATGGTGCTGCCTCTACTTCACATTGATATTATGAATATGCAAATGTGGTGGTAATTTGCAGAGGGAAGTGGATATTTCAGTTGAGTACACACTAGACAGGTCAATTCGGCTCCCCGTCCCCCCCCCCCCCACCCCTTACTTCTTCAGAGGTGCTCCAGACAAACCGTATTTATTTGTGATCATAGCCACACGAGTTGTTACTGAAACATATCGCCGGTGCCGTTTGTTACTTAAGATGTGTAATGTTTTCTCAGTCAGCTCCGTCTTTCAAGATGCCTTTTGTGTTGTGCTCTCGTCTTCCCAGGCACTACAAGCAGCGAGGCAATTACTCTTGCAGCAGCCAGGCAGTGGCCTGAAATCTCCAAAGAGCCAGGACAAGCAGCGTCCACTGCAGGTAAAGAAGTTCCCTTCCATCTAATCTCCAAAGTCCATCCGTAGTACACGCTCCTCCGCATAAAGAAGATTTCCTCTGTTCCACAAAGCGTGTTTGGTTTGCCCACGCAAAGCCTCGGACGAGAATCTTTTAAGATGAACAAGTCGGTCCCATGGAACCTCGCAAGAGTAATACGACAAAGAAAAGTGCAGGCTTTACTCAGAGTACGTGTCAGTCGGGCCAGACTTTCTTGTGATGAGTGTATCCAAAAGGTTATTTAGTGATCTGCTTCTGCATTCTTCACCAGATCCATGCGTTGTTGACACAGGAAATCCTCGGGTTGGTTATTATTTGAAATGTGCGTCAAGTCTGAGTAGCCGGTCGCACAGCTAATTTTATCCGCCTGCCATTTCCCTCCCCCACCCCTTCGGTGCTAATTTACCTTATTGATTTGTAGGGTTGTCTATTTCTGTTGTCAGTGAGTCGGAAAAGGTCACACATACACCGGTGCACAGTTTCACACTCGTCCGCGCACACGCCGCCTGCCACCCTCTTTCTTCCTGGTGTTAAGATATTTTTCTCACATGAGCATCCTCTTCATCCCACTCGTTCACGTCAACAAGGCAGTTAGTTAGTTTACCCTTTTATCAAATTAGGTAAGGCCCCTTGACATCTGCTCCTATTTTTCATATATATATTTTTATTTATCATAGTTTTAGCGGTTTTAAATTGACGTGTGAGAGTTTGTGCCCTGCTCTAGGCTAATAAGTACCATCAAGGAGCAGTGGTTTACCTCATTAGGAAGCCCTGTGCATTTCATTAATGACAGGGAAATTGGCGTTAACCTCACCCGTTGATATTTTCACAGAGTCTAACAATGGCGACACCTTGAATTGGAGTCACACCCCCATGTATCTAATTACACACCGGTGAAGAGATAAGGTTGGCAAAGACTCTTCTGTCATATTTCTTCCTTGAATTATTCAGCGCAGACTCCTCAAACGTGTTAATATTGATAGGACTTTCACAGACGGAAGCATCCAAATTGCACCTCGAAACTGCGGTATTTTGGAGGCCGTGGGATCCGAAGTGAGTCGGTGCCCTGCAAAATATCTATAACCCTATAAACTTGTTACATTTTGTTGCTGATGTACTGCAAAAAAAACAAAAAAACAAAAGCGCTTGCACACACACACACGCGCACATACTTTTGACACACCTAAAGACGATGCATTGCAACCACTTTCCAATAAGTGACAGAAGACTGACTATAGATTATTTGGTGGTGGTAGTGTCATACTGTGGGGATTGTTTCTTTTCAGGATTTTCAACATTTTTAACAAATATAAACACAAAAAGTCTGACGTGCATTGGTACCCGCACTCCCTGAGTCAGTACTTACTGTGAATACATTTTCCCACATTATGATGCTGCCACCTAAAACCTGAAATTTACGCCAATGTTTCTTTTCAAAACAGCTTTGAATCTGTCAGATAGGATGGAGAGTATTTATGAACAGCAATGTTCCAGAATTTATGTGTAGGTTTTGACTAGTCCATTCTGATGCATGCTTATCTGACGTAAACCATCTTATTGTGGGTTTATTTTCTTTGCTCTTAAGCCATTTTGAGCTTCTAAGAGGTTTTGTTCCAGGATAGCTCTCTGTGTAACTCTAGCCATCCTCCATTAACTCCTAACAGCTTTTCTGGCCTTTTTCATTTGGCATATTACATTTTCATCTCATCTGACCAGAGCATTTTCTTTAATATTTTCTATTTCCAAGTACAACATATTGGAATTTGTTTTTGTAACGTCGCAAAATGTGGGGGGGAAAAAAGTACCTCTGCGTGACAGCGTAGATTCAAACAAAGGCAATCTTGATTTAATATGTGTGTGTCCCCACAAAATCCAAAACATGATTTGTGGATCCATATCAGTTTAAAGATGTATTGGATGCTTGACAACTGTCCACCCAGGTCCAAGCACTGTACTGTAATAACACCAGCGGATGGTAAATATTGAATATTTACATTTGCTTACTCCATCCTAGACTGGTCGACGGTGGGAATCAATATGAATCTGAGGGCCCGTCATGCTCCCGGCATGTCCATTTGTTGATCCAGCCTTTATTAACATGGTCACCTCTTTGTTCTAAAAGTTTGCGGCCACAGAGTTGCACTGTGAAAAACAAAAAGAGGAACTGTTGATTCTGAATTCCAATTCAACTTCATTTCTGCAGTAGGAATATGCAGCTGAGCAGCTTTGAATCCTCTCATTTCAAATGACATTTTCCCCATGATACATACATACTCCTGTGTGTAAATATCAGAGTAAAGCAGGAGAAACTTCCTTCATTAAAACACCCTTTTTCACTGCCAGTTATTTTTTTTTCTTCTTCTCTTTTTTTGTTTTCTTGTCTTGAGGGAGTTTACTCAATAAAGCTGCATTATTTACCTGGATTATGAGGCCACAGCGGACGCTACAGTGCAATATTTTATTAGCTTCACAGCCAGATAAAAGTCAGCGGCAATCAAGCTACATGTTTTCCACCCGAGGAATGGCGCGGATTGATCCCCTTGTATGATTAGTGCTGCTGAAAGTGGGAAAAGGATTAATAAAGCCATGACATCCTGCTTATGGCAGAAGACGCTGATAAATCCTCTGCCTGTTTTCCCCTCCTCTTGTTCTCCCGTCGTTGCTATTTAGGAGAGAGAAATGATCCATAGATCATGGCATGTAAATTATTTAGTACACAAGCATCTAAGTGCCTCGGCTTGCAGTTTTAATTACTCGTATTAGCAGCTAAAGGCTCTTGCCTGACTAATTCTATCCGTTCGCTCGTCGTTGCTGCTCAGAAGTTGATGATGCGGAGGCAGGCAGCTCTGCCACGGAAATATGCACACACACACAGGATACAAAATAACAACAGCCCAACAAACACACACACACAGAAGCTGTTTCTCCACATTTGCGTTATGTGACAGGTCTATTATTACCCAGTAAGCCCACGGGAGCACTCAATAAACACCTATTTCTTCCTGTAAATCCTCCTGTCTCCGGCTGCTGCTTACACGGCTCTCCCAAGGCACAGCACCCTCTTGTCTGTGCTTCTTTTTTTTTTTTCTTTTACCATTGCTCATCTCTCTTCTCTTTGCTGATGTTTTCACTCCGCCCCACACCAGAAAAAGGCATTCATACACTGACATTTAGAATACAAATAAAAAAATGCGGACAAGGAGATATGAAAGGGATTACAGAGGCCTACGAATGTGGAAGTTGTTTCGCTCAAGCCCGCATGTACATAATGCATCTTTACACTCGCTTTCGCTTGTATGCAAACATGACCAGTAACTCTTAAAGTTTTCAGCTGTGAAGGTGGTCTGTTCAGTTTTATGACGGTCGGTGATTAGACGTTTAAATGATGTCAAGACATTATTTGGAATTGTTCCCTGCATGGTTTTCCTGTCAAGATTCCTTTTCCAACCTCAAATCTTCAGTTCTCAGTCTGTTTCTTTCCCAAATTTAAACACTTAAATACAACATTTAGCAGAGGAAGACACGCATGAAGCAGAGATTTTGTTGGGTTGGCAGGAAGGAAGGAAGAAAAGGAGGGAGGGAGAGATGGAGGGAGAGAAAGAAAAAAGAAGGAAGGAACGATTCAGGGAGTTAGAAGAAAGGAAGGAAGAAGGAAAGAAAGGAGAGAAGAAAAAAGAAGGAAGGAACGATTCAGGGAGTTGGATGAAAGGAAGGAGAAAGAATGAAGGAAATATTCAGTGGGTTGGGAGGTAGGAAGGAAGTGAAGTGAACTTAATCTGTGAATCAAAGAAAATAGTTCAGTCCCATCCCATGCTTTTCCAGACCGTGTAGGAATTCTGAGTTGCACTTAAAACAGTTGAAGTTCCCAGTCCAGACTTTACTCTGCCAGTGTCGGATGGACACTCGATAACGTGAGTCTGCAGCTCCACCTCGATCTGGCAGGGATTAAAGTTGCATCCTGCGTCACCCAGAGCCAGGTAATTCGCCCCAAGCGGCTGCTGCGACCACCGTGGTCACCCTCACACACCGTCAAGCTGCGAATGCACTTTTATGAGACCAATAACTTTGGTTCCATCTGTGCAACATTCGTTTCAAAGTAGAAAGGCTTTATGGATCGTGAAGGATGTTGGCTTTTGGCGCCTTTCTCCTGTGTTTGCAGCTGTCTGCCCAGACCAGTCAGAGTAGCTGTGGGCATTGGGCCATCTCAGGAAGTGTCACACTTTTAAAGGTCAACTTTACACATTTCAGCAGCAAGCCAATATCATCTCAATGGAAGCGCACGTCTTTTAAAGGGTCTCGGCGCTCGAGTACTAGATGGCTTGCTCCAGTGTGCTTGGTGAAAAGGATGCTAGTTCACATTTACATTTATGAATATATCTTTCCACTGCATCCCCTCTGGTTGCATCTGAAAATAGAGAAAAATTATCACAGCAAAAACGAGAGGGTTTGGGGGGCGGTGGGGAGATATTATGTTATTCATGAGGAAAACTTGTGTTGACTCTGAGGAAGAAAGAAAGAAAGAAAAAGAAAGAGAGAGGGAGTGAAAAAAAAAACGTCAGCATGTTTTAAGTCAAACACCCTTGGTTACTTCTTTTGTAACCAGAAAACAAGATTTTTTTTTCCCGTGCGCTCCCCCCCTCTCCCTCTAACTCCCTACCCTACCTCGTCTTTTTTTTTTTTTTTTATTTTTTTTCTCTTGCATTTACACCTACAGGACAAGATTGCTAAATTGCGAGGACAGAGTAGGTTCATCATTGTGATGCAAAAGAAGTTGAAATGCAACCCCAAGGCGAGGCAGCTGAGTTTGAGGGATCAAGAGAAAGTGAGAGGGAGGGTATAAAAAAAAAAGTAGCTCAGACCTTTGATGTAGCAGCAACAAATTTACCTTGTGACAGAAGATACATGGGTGCAATAAACGAGTTATACCAGCCCTTACACATGCAATCAGATGATTCTGGCCAGGGTGTTAATTGGATCCTAACCGGCAGATCTGATACGCCTGGGCCCCAGTGGTGAGGGGGGGGGGGGGGGGCCTTTCCAAGTGATGAACTATAATTCACTGAGCTGCTTGAAGCACTTGTAATTTACTGTGTGTCACTGATGAAGAGGCTGATCCAGTGGAGGCCATATTACCTGCAACATCAGAGGAAAATGTCCCCCAACCTTCCCCCATCATCCACCCCAAATCCACACACACACATACACACACACACACACGCACGCACATACCAACATTCCCGTCACCTGCTCTCACGCTTTCTATTTCAACTCTCTCCTCTCGCTGCAGTTTCCTTTTAATTCTATCCATCTCACTCTCTTACTGTTGCACCCCTTTAGGGAGTTTGGTAAGAATCAGCGGGGAGAGAACTGTGCCAGTATTTTTTTTCTGATAAAGGTGTGACGGTGTGTGCTGATAATGAAGCAAACAATGTGCATGAGCTGCACACCAGTGAACAGTGGATTCACGAGGCCTAATCAGTAAGTTTTTACATGTAGAGATAAATCAATATGGAAATTGTGCTAAGCCCATCCCGAGCTCCTCTGGGACTTCTATTAGATGCTTTTACATGATGGGTCTTTATGTTATTATAAATTGCAGTTGCTGTGCACTCCTGCCAAACTGCAATAGAAATTGATTTAGGAAAACGTTCAGTAATCCACTTAACTTTACGATTGACAAACTGGAATATCGATCTCCAGAAGCCAAGCATGTGTTGGAGACATGATCCCGTGTATGCATGTTTGATTTAAACTCGGATGCTAATTTTTATGTCGTTTTTTTTTTTTTTGTTTTGTTTTGTTTTGTTTTTGTTTTGTGGGTGGGGGGGTAGCAAAAGTATTAATACTCCTTTACCTGTTTTACAATTTGCCGTAGACAAACTGTGAAGAGGAATGAAAATGATGTGATATGGTTTTCAAAATATGGCAAAAACAAAATCTGAAAAAAAAAAGTAGATTCAAGCTCTTTTACTCTGATGCATTCAGAACAACAAACTGCCTTCAATCACCTGATTAGTCCATCATCCAACATCAAGATGCCACCGCCACCAAATTGTGTGGTGGTGAAATGGATTAGAATAAGTTGCTTTAATGTGAGAAAACGTGGCTGGGAGGTGAATACTTTTGAAAGGCCGCATACTTAAACGTCAGAGTTGAATCCTCCCGGCTTTAGCCCCGCACTGCTGTTCTGCTACGGGAAGCATCCCGGCTATCAGTATCGCTGTAATTGGCTGGCAGATGAGCAGCAACTAAAAGGGAGCCGAGAGGTCACAAGTCAACAGGCTACCACGGGGGTCTGCGTTTTGCCAAACAATGATGAAAGTGTTGGGGTTTCTGCCCTCTTTTCCTGATTTCTTAATCTTTCCCCATCTCTCTGTGTGTAAAAAAAAAAAATAAATAAATAAAGCCAGTGGCTTAATTAGCAGTCACTTCTTTCCTGCCAAGGATTCACAGTAATTAAAGACAAGGACCCCTCGATTTCTTATTGCTTTTATCTCTGCGGTGTCTGAAGCTCCGCTCTGTTTCCTGTCCTTATGACAGGAGCGTCTGTCGTTGATAACCGCCCTACAGTGTTTGCGGTTGGCATCTAATCACCAGTTCTCCTTCTCCTTATTGGAAAGTGAGTTGTGTTAAAACTCAAGTAAAATGAAAGGAATATGTAGCCTAAATAATTTTTTTGCCTTGTTTTGATAGAAACACATTTAACATTTACTCTTTTCAAGACAAAATTCATCAACAACAAGGGGGGTTTGAATGCTGAGCTTACACTAAATCAAATAAGCTTCAAAGCATCACTTATGGTTCATATGACAATGAAAGGGTTACAATGGGAATTTCCAGTAGTAAAACCTAGAGTCTAACATTTTTAGGTACTAAGACTCCAATGGCTTCATCAGCTGTGGCTAATTTTCAACATTTCAATAAATGTCATCAATACCTTCTGCATATCAAAACTGGAAACCCATCCTTTCTCTCTGGATAACAGAGAAACAAATGGATGTACAGTTCTCTCTCCTGCAATAGGAGAGCCTATTCGTGACGCGTGGATGTTTACGCCGCTGCCAACGTCTACTAAATGCTCATTAATTTCATCCCTTCGTGGCAAAATCATTTCAAGGAGAGGCAATTCAGCCTCCTGTTCCTTTCAATTCAGCGCTCACGTCAATCAAGCCCTCCTGCAGGATCCTGCAGAATGGAGGTGTTATATTGCCGCAATTATCATGTCATATACTCGAAAATGTAAATGAACGTGTGTGTAAAATTAAATTTATGGGTTGTCAGTGAAGAATAAGAACCAGGAGAGCAATTACTTATCTGCTTTCATCTTGGAGCCTCTGATACGTCAAGCAGAAAAGCATGCAGTTAAATGCTGGAATTAGCATTGTGCTGCACTTCACAGTGGATGTGGGCCAGTTCTTTTTTTTCCCCCTCTCTTTTCTCTTCTTGCCTTTTCTTTCTTTTTCTCCCGTTTTTTTTTTTTTTTGGTGATTATCACCCATTATGTATAAAGCTAATGACAGCATAAAAAGAGCTTCCATATTTCATAAACTCGTTTTCTGTTTCTTACCCCCTTTCCGTTGCTTTAATTTTGCACTTCTTGTTTGAAGTCTTGTTTTATTCTCTGCTGATGACATCCTGCATTATTCACCTACAAATACCTGACTTTGAGTGCCTATATTTCACCACCCACACAACGCAGAATCAGTTTGAAGCTCCGTGTACAATTTATATTTAATTCCACTTTACATATGTATGCGCATACATTTGTGGTAAACCCTGCACGGCTACGCCTGCATCTATTTTTTTTTTTTTCATGCCCAAACGTCTTTGAGCCAGTACCCAATTAATACCCTTAATGAGTGCATCTCTGCTGTTGTTTTCCCGCTGCACTTGTCCCATTGTAATGGCATCTAACACAAAACCAGGAGTGACTGCAGGGGTAATTACTTACCTAGCAAATGTACCTTTAAGGGTTAATAACACTGAAGGTGTAAGCACAGCATTTGCATAATTACACATGAACTGTTTAATTTGCAACTTTTGACAGCTTTTGTTCGACGACTCGCTTCTTGTGAACGCAATTTCTCCTGTCCCCTCGCAAGCACGAAGGAGTCCAAAGAAGAAAAGAGATGCACCCACAAACAGCCGCCACCTCCTCCATCGCTTCCTACCTTAGATGGAGTCCCTTCTCTCTAAGACCCTAATGAACAATGGAGGCAGGATTTGTTTGAATATGAATATGAATGTGCAGCGGGGCCGGCTGGAAGTTGACCTTCAGCTGTGATTTTCAGTTCATCAGGATTAGTCAAGGCGGGCGATCAGGAGCCACTAATGCATAATGACTTCTAAAATGAAAAATGTGTAGTGACCATGCAAATGTCTCGGCTAATCAAAGAGGGGGGAGAAACCTGGGGTGGCGGAGGCAGCGAGGGCGGGGAGGAGGGGTGGGCATCGAGGAGAGGAGAGCTAAACAAGGACGTGTCAAGGCCTGACAGAAAGAGGGAGAGGAGCAGAGAGGAGGAGGGAGGAAGGAGAGACATGCATGGAAAGTAATCAAGCCAGCTTGATTAGCTGGCAATGAGGACAGGGATGTCTTATTGGCCCCTTGACACTCCATATAGGCTAGCTACTGTCATGGCAGCTCCGTGGCAAACACTGTTGCAATTAGAATCAGTGGAGGTGTTACTCCGTGCCGATGTTCCAACCGTGTTTGTTTGTTCCAAACACTTGTGGCTTGCACTGATTTCCATGTATGCTGATGATGTTAGAGTGTACTTTAAAGGTCATACAGAAGGGATGGACTACGCCTCACTTTTTTTTTCTTTTTTTTGGCAGTCTAGTCAAGTTTTGCGCATTGGACCAAGGTATCAGCTCGATGCTAAATCATTCACAGGTTCTTACTCTTAATCTTTTCTTCTTTAGGCGTTCAATTTTTAAAGCTGCCATGCGGAGCCAAAACTCCAAAATAAAACTGTTAGCTTCTACTCCCCTGTCAGAGTGCGCACACGCAATCAAAGACGGCAGCAAAACATATTGTCTTCATATTGATCTGCTGTCTCAGAAGTTTGACGCTTTTGCCTGAGAAGAATTTGGAAGAAATGAAGTATTGTGTTTCATTTTTTTTTCTGCCACTGGACAAGTTAACGTCTAGAAATGGTACCTTTTTTTTTTGTTGTTGTTGTTTTTCTAATCAACATGTCCACAGAGTTAAATTAAAAAGGAGTTAAACATCTGCTTCGTTAGGGGGTGGGGGGACGGCGTTTCTCACCTTTATTAAAAACTTAAAGGTGAGTCCTAAATTCCCAGCACTTGGCAATGTGTTATAATCAATTTTAGAGTTGTGCATTTTTAAGCTGTTTAACAGCAGCAGCACTGATAGGTACTCTAAAGTAGGGGAGTTCAGGGGTCCTGCTAATTAAGGTCTATGTCTATTTAAATCCCCCCAGCTTCTCCCAGCAGAATAAAAGCAGAAAAATAAGATCAGCAACACAAAGACACAGCACCCATGTGTCCTTCAGCATCTCTTCTAGGCTGCCAAACGTCACAGCCTGCTCTCCCTACCTTTCCAACCACCAGTTTACTCATTCCCAGTAGATCCACACTTCTGTGTTAGATGCATTTTTTTTTCCAACGCTCTATTTTTCAAACTTTTTCCAATTTTTTTCTCATCTCCTTACCCGTTCCCCCTGCTCTCCCATTGTTTGCCCTTCTCTCCACTCTCCATTTTCACATTTATTGCATCTTGTTTGTCTTGCCCCTCTCCGTGCCTCTTCCCTCGCCCCGACTCTCATTCCCATCATTTCATTACATATCATCCATGTCCAGGTTCCAGTGTCAGTGGCCATGATGAGTCCCCAAGTGATCACGCCACAACAGATGCAGCAGATCCTCCAGCAGCAGGTTCTTTCCCCACAGCAGCTCCAGGCTTTGCTCCAGCAGCAGCAGGCAGTGATGCTGCAGCAGGTACAGCAGACCACACACTCACACAAACACGCATGCACAAAGAAAACTATGAAACACTAAAGCAAAAAACAAACTTAATGACACACGCACCCGGGAGATTGCAGGAACAACACTCAAAGTATGCATTATTCCCTGCACATTCACACCTGTTCGACTCAGCTCAGTTTATTTATAGGGAGAAAATTCAAAATGAATGTCACCTCTTGGCACTTGTCAAGAAAATAAATCAGCTACATTTCAGTTTCAAATTCAGTTTGGTCCAAATTTTGTTCAAATCAATCCTAGTCATTCACAAGATGTCAAATCATGTTTTCAGATTCAGTTCAGTTCAGAAAATACAGTCACATTCAGTTGATCATTTAATTGATGATTGCGTCAAGTTGTTGATTTAATTCTGAATGTGTGGGGACACTGATGAGAAACCGCTGGCTTTTATCTGGAAGCCACCAGGACCGAGTTCACAAGAGCAGCTGCAACTGTGTCCTGTTCCAAGGTAGAAAGGACAAAGATATAAAATAAGTGCTGAGCCTGGTGTCCCTTTTATATAAGAAACAAAAACAAACAGCTTATGCAGTGGCTTCATCCAGTAAAAAGACCAAATTGGTGGAAATAATGCAAACTTGGGGAGCAGAAGAAGATTGAAAAGCGAGGCGATAATGGCCAGTAGCTTCTGGAATACCTAACCAGCCTGATCAAAAACGCAGAGGGTGTGACGCGCACAAAAGTAGGGAATTCTATTTTTGGAAGGTCTAAACTCCACAGAGAGTTGGACGGATAAATAAAAATCACTACAACATTTCTATAAAAGTTGCATTTTATAAGGGTTTTACATCTTGACTGTAATTTTCCAAGATTTACGCGCAGTTTGTCAACACACCGTCTTAAGTCGTTCCTGCCAGCACTCACTTTTGCTAACTCACCACAGTGTCCTTGACACGCTTTACCAAAAAGAATCCTAAAGTGATGTACATGTTCACGTCACCTCTAATTAACCGTCTCTGGTGGTGTCACTGGTTCAATTCCCTGACAAGCTTCCATCAGGGACTCTGGGAGCAGCGCTGAGCACAGGAAGCTGAATGATAGGTGATGGATGATGTAATATTTGAAATCGACTTGAGGAAGCGCACGCTTGGTACAGTCTCATTTCGGAGTTGAAATGCATTTCCCATCCATAGACTTGATTAAGGGAAAGAGAATAGTTTAATTAAGAATGTCAGTCATTCTGATTGTCCCTCTTTAATAATCGTGTCACTACTCCAGGCGTGGTTTCAATACAATTGAATGTGGTTCCAAGCACATTTTAAACTTATGTTTATTGCATTTTTTTCAACACTGTCCTTAAGCTCCACTGAGCTGCTGACTACTTTGTGATTAAATCAGTAATAGGCTCTGAACTATACCTGTTGTGCTTTCTCTGTGTTCTTTTTCAAACACCTTACCAACACTGAGTCATTTTCACTTAGTAACAGCATCCACACATCACATTAATGTTAATAATAATAATAATAATAATAATAAGATACGGTCGGAAAAAAGGCCCCTTTTTTTCAGAAATTGACCTTTTTCTAGTCGGGTTGTCTTTTTTATCATTTGGAGATGAAGAGTTGGTGAAAAATTGTATTCAGTGCATCTTCTCTTTGTTCTTTGTCTTTCTGTGGATGTTTATGTCTACAGCAACACCTGCAGGAGTTTTATAAGAAACAGCAGGAGCAGCTTCATCTGCAGCTTCTCCAGCAACAGCATCCCGGCAAGCAGGCTAAAGAGGTAGATGCAACATCACGCCTGATTTCCATGCACAAGAATTTAAAGACGCGCAGGAGATACAAAGACAAACACACACAGGGAAACAACTGTATGTCTAATTTCCATGGATGGAGTTCCACTTTCGAGCTCCTTCTCATCAGCCAAAACCAAAAATGTATACTTCCTGTTCCCTTTCAGGAGAAACTGACAGCTGCATGGTGATTTAATCATAACATAGCATGCCTGCTATTCAAGTGTGTGTTAAAGAAGAGTGGCGAGCGATATCTGAACAATAACAAAATTCAAACTGTTAATTAACTTTTTTCTCTGGGTGTACAAACACCTCAACGACATCAAAGTTACAGTGTTTGACTCTCATAAATCTCACTGAGATGCAGCAGGTCGACAGACACGGCGCTGTCTCGTTCCTCTTACGGACGACAAGCGAGACACCTCAAGCATATTTGCATAAGACTGTTGATGCTGAACCTTGTGAATCCGTGCAGGGCCACCTCCAGAAAACAGTGGAAGTATTTAAATTGATATGAAAGAAAGAATGCACCACCTAAACACACACACACCCTTTCTTTTTCTTTGCCTCCGTGATGCACTTCTCGGTGTCTCCTCGATCAGCCCATTATGCTGCCCCCAACAGGAAGTCGCAACCGACCTCCCGGCGGCTTTGTTTCTGTTTGGATTTGAGAATAGAGTTTTTCAGTGGCCTTGCCGTCAAATATGGAATAGAAATTGCCCCTTTATTTCTCTGGAGGCACGCCGGAAGGTTGCAAGGCAAGGGAGCAAACTGCCTCCCTCCGTCAGTCCATTATGCAGCCTGTTTTCCAGTGAGTGCATCTCAAGTTGTGCCTCTCCTATGCACCGTTCAGTCAATCATCTGAATGTTTCGAAACGGCAAAACCTACTGGTACGTGTCCGTTCACCTCGGCTGACAAAGAGAGCAGTAATGAGAGAGCCAGCCAGGAGGCCTGTGGTAATTCTGGAGGCGCTGCAGTGATCCTCAGCTTAGGTGGGAAAACTTTAAGTCATTCACTCCAAATTTAGCCGTTATGGAAGAGCGGCAGGAAGAAAGAGATGATGAGCAACCTGTTTACTCCTTCACCTGTGGTGGTGCTGCACCAAAAACCACTAAAGACCCTTCAAGAAGACACTGAGCTCAAATTTCTTCTTCACAATATGCATACAAAAATGGAGAAGTGTCAGTTTTTAGCAGTTGTAGGGTTTGTCTTTTGTCTTTGGCAAAAGATCACTAACCAGTTCTCCCATAACAGTGAGACACCGTAATCCACTTCCTGCTTTTGGAGTGGTCTCTGGTCTGCTTGGCATTCATACATCCATTCAAACTGCACCAGAGTTCACGTCGATCTAAACTCCACCAGAGTTCACTTCGAACTCTGATGTGTAGGCATATCAGAGTTCAAATTCACTTTCACATCTCTGCAAATGATCCGGATGTTCTGGGCAAGCAAACTAGAGTTGGATTAAAGCAGTGTGAATCCATCCTTATCTAACCTTTAATTTTTAAAAAAAAAAAAAAAAAAAAAGCTCAAGCGGTTTGAATACTTTTGCAGGCCAATTTCAAGTTTGATACATTCCATCTTGCTTTGTGTGTCACCACAGTCTGGCTTGGCGATAAACAGCTTACTGAGGAGACTCGAGTACAGGGGGTTTGGGAGCAGTGGTGGAATGCTACATGTGCGCTTGAGACCGTGCATCCAAATGCATGTGAAGCCTGTAAACCTCTCATTCTTTCTGTTCCCTCTGGTCAAATAAGCTGTAGCAGAGCATCAGTGAAGGCGAGACAATTAACTAGCGAGGATGGTGGGGAAAGGATTATACCAGAGGCTTAGTATCATGCACAATCAGAAGCTACACACACTGACAGCCTCACTTTTGTGAGGAGATAACAGCACTTTGGTACAGCCCAAAAACCAGGAGGGAAGACTTAAGTGCGAGCAGACGGAGAGCGAGGAACCTGCCGAGGAAGAAGCAAAGAGGCATAGCTAAGGTCACGGAAAAGGCGAAGGAGATTTCTCCAAACGGGCGAGCCAATGTCTTCTGCTCTCTCAGCTGTTAATTCCTCTATAATTTTCACTCCCTCCTCTTCTTCCATGCTCCCCTCTTGCTCCTCGCCCTCCTCCTCCTCCTCCTCCTCCTCCACCTCCTCCTCCTCTCTATAGCAACAGCAGCAGCAGCAGCAGCAGCAGCAGCTGGCCGCCCAGCAGCTCGTCTTCCAGCAGCAGCTCCTGCAGATGCAGCAGCTCCAGCAGCAGCAGCACCTGCTTAACATGCAGCGGCAGGGCCTGCTCTCGCTGCCCGGGCCCGCTCCAGGCCAGGCCGCCCTGCCCGGACAGACCCTGCCCCCACCAGGTAAGGCTGCTGCGTCCGTTCGGAGCACATGACTTCCTATTATTTGTTTGCAAGTACAAGTGCCGTCTTTCCCTCTTCTGTGTCTCTCTCTCTTGTCTTAGTTGTTGTCATTGGTATGCACATGTAATCCTGTTGCGTTATCTTTAAGTGTGTCTGTCTGCCTGCCTCTCATTGGTATGCTCCCCTACCATCCAATTTGTCCTTAACTCTGCACATGAATGTTTTGTTTAGTCGTCCATTCTTCCTCCTTGTCTTTATTGCTCTCTTTGTCTACCTCTGTCTCTCTCTTTTAGCTCTGCAAGTGTTTGTGTTTGCTGTTTTCCATCTTTGTTTTTATTCCCCCCACGCTCTCCCTTCTGTCAGTCCTTGTTGTTGTTGTTGTTGTTGTTTACCACCTCCGTTGAGATGAATAAAAAGCACAAACACAGAGGGAGAGTGGCGAACAGATTGAATTTTCTTCCAGCCGGAGCAAGTAAACACTCCTGTTTGTTGTTTACCATTGAAATGGCGGAGACGGGAAAACAACAGGCAGGAAAGTGTTTGATGAGATCACAGGAGTGAATTCGGAGTAGCGAGTTTCCACACTAAAATAGAAAACCTTGTTTGCCTCAAGGTGGAACTGGCAACTATTCTGTGTATTCAATGTTTCTCTTTTTACACAGGTGAGCCGTTTCCCAGATAAAGTCAATACCTGACTCTGCAGAAAGATTAGAGTGGTTTAGAGCTTTTCAGCAGCGTCATCAACCTTCTTCAAAGTTAGAGTTTTCAGCACACTCACCACTTACTCCAACTTTCTCCTTCCTCTTGGGTGTCTACAGGTGGCTTGAGCCCCGCTGAACTCCAGCAGCTGTGGAAGGATGTGACCGGAGTCGGTGGCGGCGGCGGCGGTGGCCACGCCATGGAGGACAACGGCATCAAACACAGCGGCGGCGGCATCGGCAGCGCCAACACCGGGACCGGCGTGGTCAGCAGCGGCTTAGACCTCTCCACCAACAACTCCACTTCAACTACCTCCTCCTCCAATCCTGCCAAAGCATCGCCGCCCATCTCGCACCACGCCATCACCAACGGACAGTCGCCAATCCTCAACCACAGACGAGAGCGGGAACGGGAACGGGAGCGCGAGAGGTAGATGAAAGAAGCCATCAGGCTGCCTTTTAGAGATAACAGCGGAGCACAACAAGCCGCTTGATGTTGTGCTGAAACTCAGGGGGGAAAACAAGATGTTTTGTTTATTTATTCAATGGTTTATTAGTGTCTCTCACTGATATTCAAGCACAAAAGACATAAATAAAAGTATCTTTCTCCCAGGGGAGCTTCTGAACAAACTTAGCTTGCACACACATATCAAACGTGGGGAGTAGAAGCCATCCAGGCAGGCACACTTACACTTATAACAAACCTCTCTGGCAGACAAGACAAGGTAACCCCCTTGTACATTAAGTATTTAGTGCTTTGTCTCTCTTTTTTTCCTCTTTTGAAAATTACCTTCCTTGCTTGCTTGTCATGTAAACAGAATATGTGATGCCTTGAGTGGCGTTTCTAGGATGTTTATCCTTGTGATGGCGTCTTTTATAAATGCACCCAGCACCGAAACACTGGCTGTTCACATATCTGCCTATCTGGGCCATGCATTATTCAAAGGCTTTTCTTGGGCGATATTATAATAAGGACTAAGGATGGAGATGTGTGTGTGTGCGCATGTGTGTGTGTGTGTGTGTGTGTGTGTGTGTGTGTGTGTGTGTGTGTGTGTGTGTGTGTGTGTGTGTGTGTGTGTGTGTGGATGCTTGGTGGAGACTTGCAATAGAGGTGGAAGTGCTGTGTAATTGGTTTAAAGTAGATGCTATCTCTGCAGTCCCACTAAAAGTAGGCTGGGAGGAGGAAAGGAAAAAAAAGAAGAGAGAGAAAGTGAATGAGAAGACAAGGAAGAAAGGAGAACATCTGCTTGCGTCCCGAGGGAGTTTGTGGTGCCTCGCAATGATCGAACAAGGAGTATTGTCAGGAGTGCTGCTTACTAACACGCCACGGATCGATGTGGGGGAAGCCCCTTTGTAAAAACACGGCGTGAGTTCTGCCAGGGCTTTCGACCACACACATGCACAGGCACAACCTGTCCGCACACTCTCCCTCGCGTTTCCATGAGCACACTCGCACACCAGTGCCAAGCCTAAAGGTTAAACTGTCATCTTTAATAGGATGTGCTGTCTAGGCAGGGTCGTAACTTATTTGGGTGCCATTTGAAAAACGCCAGAACACCCTTGTCCTCAAAGAACATAAGTTACACAGTGTATTAATCTCCTGATGAAAATTATATGGCTGTCTGGATTTTTAATGTTTACTCGAAAGCCTGCTTCCCCCACCTCTTCCCCCGATAATGGATTTACAAGATGGAGCGTTGGCTGCGGTTCCAACTCATTCTGGATTTCCATGGGGGGTGGGAGGGATGGAGTGTTCTTCACACATAAGTCACCACTGTCTATGAGTTCATGCAGGAAGATCTAGGATGTGACTTGCTTCTAACCTTTTTTTTTTTTTTTGCTGTCATGAGTAATTTCTTCTGTCTCGGTTAAAAAGAAAAAAACTTTGAAAAGTTGAATAATTTCACTTCTTATGCCTACATTGCTCCATTTCTCTCTCCTGTTTGATCTGCCTCCAGCTCACTTCACGAAGAAAGCGGAGGAACCCACCCCCTGTACGGTCATGGCGTGTGCAAGTGGCCCGGCTGTGAAAACATGTGCGAGGACTTTGGACAGTTTTTGAAGTAAGAACTTATTCTCCGACAATAAGCTGCAATCTCTTCTCATTTTTCTCGATTAGTAGTCGAGAAAATACTCCCACTTTTCAACAATTTGCCACATTGCAACCTAAAGACCAACAAAACACCTTAATGTGTCTTATTGGGCTTTTGTAAGACAGATCTGGAAATCAGATGAGCCTCAATACTTGTTGTTTCTGTCTGATTTGGTGAGTCAAATTGATACCAGGTGCAAAATCATTACAAAGAGCCACATTTGGACATCCCAGATCATCCCAATGTAACACATTGAAGATTCTGGTTGTAATGTGACAAAAGTTGGAAAAAAAAAATCAGTTAAATTGATGTTGCCATGTATTTTTAGTGACGCACATTGAAGCTGTCCCTTTTGTTTCCCACTCTCTCAGTGGCCTTACTCTTAAACCCTTCCTGTCTTTCTACAGGACACATTCTGACCTCTAGACAGCTAGCTGACAGGGTTCTGCTCCTCCAAAGCATGACTCAAACCAACTCTGATCCATAACAAATTTTCTGCGCAGCGTGGAGGGACCTGATAGGTTTGTGAGAAAAAGAAAAAAAAAAAAAAAACGTCAAAAGCTAATGGCAGCTCGCACGGCCGCACACTTACCTCGACAACAAAGGGCCCCCATTCACTGTTGTCATGGTGCAGGCGCTGGAGCAAATGAACTCTTCATGCTCCATCAACAATTTAGTTAATTAGCTCATTTGTAATTGGCCGGCTTTGTTGCCAGGATGTTAGTGGGGGGACATCAAAGGAAGAAGGTGTTTGCAGCGCTGCCGATTACAGGTTATCACATTGCCACTCACCGAGAGCCTCTCTCCCTCCCTGTATCCCTGACTCCCCGCTCTCACACAGAGAAGAAAAGAAAGGGAAAGCTTTAATTTGAATATTCTAATTAGATTTGTAATTAACTGTGAAATAACGATCTGGCGAGTGTTTTTCATGGGCTGTAAATGTCCATGTGAATTCTCATAAACTCCCCCAAATCAGGACAATGTATCCACTTATTTTCCCAGTCATGCAATTCTCTGCAGTATTGACTGTAATAAGGTGCGGAAAAGCTAGGAGACGTACGCGTACGAAAAAAAAGACAGAAAGAAAGAAAAAGAAAACTAGAATGTAGGATTTGGGTCAAGCTTTCGCTAATGCTACAGCATCTTCTGAATTACTGCCAGGAGGAGTTATCTGTGGATTGAAATGATTCCAATAAACAGCGTTTTCAAGTCTTTCAAAGACACTGGCGGGCAGCAGATTAGGCTCCGTTTTCACACGCTGTCGGAGCAAATAACAAAGTTAAAAGAGTTGTAATTGACAGCAGCGGACTGCAATATAATGGACACGAGTAGACGTCACTGCCGCAGCAAAGGGAAGTGTTTGCTTATATTCTTTGGAAAATATGAGACGTACATGTCAAAATTAATATACAGAGAATCTTTGCATTCTGTCGTGTCGGAGCCACATTGTCATTTTATGTGGTAGACTAAAACAAAGCTGGGCGTAGTTGTAGAGTGGAATAAAATGTGTGCATTTAAAACGTTTTTACGGATAAGTATTGGAAATTAAAATATTTGAGTCACTTCAACATGTGCAACGTGTTTCCCTAAACTATTCCATCGCTGCTCTGGTTGCTTCGTTTTGGTGTGTCTGGTATATTCAGGGTTGTATTTCACCAAACTTCCAAGTGTTTCCCTTCTTCTAACATGTTCCCTTGCACGATTGTTCTTTATTTTTAACTCTGGATAGCTTTACTGTCTATGTGAAAGGAAATCGTGACACTACCACCATGTTTGGGATGCAGTGTGTTAGTTTTCCACCACACAGTGTTTTGTGTTTGTGCTGAAAAGCTGTACGTCAGTCATATGTAACCAGAACACATTCGGCTCTCAAAATGACTTATTACAAACTGCAGCGCAGGTTTCTACATATCTTCCTTCACTTCAAAACGAATGATCTCGGTCTGTCACATCACATCTAACTAAAATAAGTTAACGGGCATATTGACAAAATGTGAAAAGTGAAATGGTTTGTGAATACTTAGACTTTCAAAAGCCATTCTTACCAAACACCGGATTGTGGCGCACATGCTACAGGACTACGCATGATGTAGTCCGGGTGAAGCAGTTTGCCTTGCAGCTTTGGTAAGGGATGAACCTGTGATCCAGCAAGACTGCGGGGGATTAGCAGGTTTTCTGGAATCACATCCAATCACCTAAGCACACTTGCTTAATGGAAGACATCACTTTATTTCTTTTGGTACCGTATGCTCTGTTCGCACACAAACACTCACTAGTCTGTGTGCTTTAAGGATACTGCGGGTAGGTAGATTAGCTGGTCACTTCAGTCAGGCTTGGAGGCGCACTGTAAAAGCTGCACACATGTGCCGGATACAGTAAGCTGGTAAGCTTCTGTGAAACGATGCGTGCTTGTAAAGTCAAAACCAGAGGAGTCAGACAGGCAGGTGGAGAGAAAACAGTTGGATTTCAAAGTGAAAAACAGGTGCGCAGGTTGGCAGACAGTTTTGTAAGAACATTTTCCAGAACATCGCCTGTTACGGAATTTCTGTCTTGGCTGAGTCCCGCACACAAAACTGTACGGGTAACCCAGCCAGCGCAAGAAAACAGACGGCAACAAAGAAGGCAGGCTCATCATTAGAACAAAGATGGCTGCTCTGTGCCGTGCCTTGGAGCAGTCATTGTAGGTGTCAGAGGGAGTCCTTTCATGTTTCAGGAGATGCCATTTGACTACACACACACACACCGATGCACCCGCGCGTGCACACACACGGGCGCGGTTTAAACGGGGTTACATAAAGCGGATGTCAGATTTAGATGACAGCTTAGATGTTGGTACTTCAGTGGAAGGAGGGGGCCACGTTTGTTGGGAAGGGGTTGGGGAGAGACCCAAGTCAGGCTGCCGCCTCGTAGCTCGCTGCAGGAGCTCGGCTCAGCAGCAGTGACACGTTTAGTCATCTATTGTTTTGTTGCATGAAGAAACTTGTCAAGATCAGCATTTAGCGGCTCCTCGGCGCTCTTTAAAGTGTTCTCACCTGGAAAATGTAGCCGCAAGGTGGCATGGCACCCTGAATTAGCTCTGTGAAGTTCAAAATGAAATAATATCTGTGGGAATTGTTTCTTGAGTGACTGGATGTTTTGGTTTGCGGGCGTATTTATGTTAGTTACATGACAAAGAGGGCTGAGACACTACAAGGCATTGAGGTTGGGTGGAAGGCTTTTTTTTTTTTTTTTTTTTTTGCAAGCAGCCTTTGGTGAAAATAAAAGGAAACAAAATTATAGTTAAAACGATCAGCTTGATAATGTGGGAATTGATACCAAAATCATAAATGGTTTTCCAAGATTGCTTGACAACTAAAAGGTGAACTTATAGAGTCCAGTCTCAAGTCTTTCACTGCTAATACCTTCATCCATATCTCTCACCATCTGACAAGCCTCCCTATACCTGTTGGTATTTACCAATAAAATAACATTAATATATCAAAGATATATTAATGCAAAATGCAATAATTGTTTGCTGCCTCCCTGCTGCAATACTCATCAACACATTATTGTTTCCAAGATGCTGAAAGTCACAGTGTCTGATGTACAGATAAAAGGAAACAATTGAGGAACATGTGGATTTAACACAAATTCTATTTTCACAGCTGTTTTCATTAATAATATTGCCATCAAATTCTTATTTTTTTTCTTATTTGCACTGCAAAAACACAAAGTCTTGGTTATTATCAGTCTAGTTTCTAGTGCAAGTATCTTATTACGCTTGGGGGAAAAAACTTACTTAAAAGTAACTTTTCAACAAGATATATTAAGTCTATAATTAAAAAAAAAACAACTACCACTTCCATTGGCAGATAATTGAAGTTACTTGTAACTGAGAAGGTACTTGTAAGCTAGTTTTGTCTTTTTTCAAATCTACTAAGATATTTCCTCTAGAAACTAGACCAAAACTACTTGGTGAGATTTTTTTTTTTTTTTTTCCGTGTGCACCCCTTGTTTAATGACAAAATGGGAAAAAGTTCAAGGCAAATGAAGCATTTGTGAAAGGCACTCATACATGTCTGAAGGCATTTTATATATACAATAATGCTACTTCTCAGAGGTTATATTTCCACCTTTACACAAACCGATAGTAGCAACCCCCCAACCAGCTCTGCCAGTGTTCTGTCACCGTTCTGCTCTCCTTATTAGTGGCAGCAAGCCAGGCTCTGTGTTAAAATGGCAAGCTCAGTCGCTAACCTGAAGGCTGGTGTTTGTAACCCGCTACTAATTAAACCCACAAGGCAGCAGCCAAATGTCTTTGTCTTTATATAATGTACGCATATGCACATTGTTGAGGCTCTAGTGGGTTTTCCCAGCCACTACATGGTGAAGCTTTGCTCCACCCTACCAAGACCTTTAAAAGGCAGGGCACCACCACCTAATGGTGACAGCCTCCATGAAAGAGACTGCGTGTAAACATGCTTTGTTTTAATTCACTTATTTAGAAGTGTGCTGCTGAATCGGTGTTAGCGTGTCGTGTACAGATAGCTCAACTTTCTCTTCTGGGCCTTTGTAGTCCCTGATGATACACACAAACAATTAGCACAAGTGTACAGTCCATATATACTGGCTTGAATAGATTTATTATTGTGCCCTTAGTGGACATTGATGGGCTATATATATTCATGTGTTCAGCTACGGGAGGAAAAAAATCCTTCAAAATCTTTTGTTCTGTTCTCTTTAAGACAAACTGCAGGTCCTAATAAAACATGGGATCGTTTCTAGGGTTTAAAAACAACAGCTGTTTCTCCCTCAGTGTCTATTTTTACATCTTTTTGTTTGAATATTTAGTGTCATGTGTTCAGAAGTCTCTGCCTTGGCCATCTTTTCTCTCCAGTTTTCCATTATTCATGCCTGATGATGGGGGGGGGGACGTCTTGTTTTCTTCATTGTTAGAATAAATGTTTTACTTCTTGCTATTTATTTTTAGCTGCAACTATCTCAAATACGTGGCTTATTAAAGGATATTGCTTTTTCACATCAGGCTATAAGTAAGGCAAATAAAGAGGTGGTTTATTTTTGGAGTAAAGTGGGCTATTTAAAAAAAGCACACCACACTTTTCAGATTTTTTTCTTTTTCTTTTTTTTCTTTTAGAAATATTTGTTTCCCTTCTTTCTGGTTTTCTTTTGAAATCATTGCTTAAAATCCTAAAATTGTTTATAATCACCATTATCAAGGTGAGGTTACTTAAGGCCATCATAATAAAGGAGCTGAACACCACAGTTGGCACAGTTGTTAATAATAAAAAAAGAGTAAATAATAAAACCAGGTGAAAGATGGTGATTAAAATCATTTATGTTGTTCAGACAGGTTAGAAACCTAAGGGAATCTTCTTCTTCTTCTTCTTCTTCTTCTTCTTCTTCTTCTTCTTCTTCTTCTTCTTCTTCTTCTTCTTCTTCTTCTTCTTCTTCTTCTTCTTTATTTCACTACCTTAGATTTTCTTTTGTCATGTTCTTTTCTTCCTGTCCTGTGTGTCTGCCCACCCCCTTCTCCTTCATTTCTGTCTTTGTTTGGCATTATTAATGCTCAGCAGAACATGCTGCCATTTGAATATTTTATAAACGCACGTTGTAATCTTCCTGTAATCGCCTTGCTAACTGGCCAGCAGTGAAATTGAATGTACGAAGCCCTAACTGTCTGCAGGACCGCCGTGAGGCCTCGCGCACACAAACGCGTGCACGCTTAACTGAAACGTAGCTGCTCGCAGATGAGACGTAGACTCGATAAAGATTTTTGCACATCTTTTTTTTTTTTCTCTTTTTTTTTCTCCTTGTTTTGTAATGAGGTATCTTCAGGGACAGCGAGCAGCCATCTCTGTGCTTTTGAAGCAGCTGTAATTCATGACACACACCATACATCAAGTGCATAAGATAGCATTATGGGCAGTGAAATGAAAAGGGTATTTGCAACATTAGTTCCCTCATCCTGCGAGGGACGTGATTAAATGATTAATGAAATGCCCCCCCACCCCCCCGCGCCCTTTTTTTTTGCATGCGTGTTCTGAAACAGCAATTAGGCACAGAGCTGGTGGAAATCCACCAGTCCTGTCCCTCATGCACTTCTCTCCCTACCTCTGCTTGTATTTTTTTTTTTTTTTTTTTTATACCACCTCATTCTTGATTTATAATGAAACATTTCAGAGCATTAAAACCTGAAATGGTTAGGCGAAGCAAAGGCAGGGACGAGATGAAACGGTTTTTAAGCGTGTTCGGTGTTAATTGAAAGGTACAGGACTATTGTGATTACAAATGTTCTGCTCGGCTTCTGATTGACAGGCCAAGAGAAAGCAGCTCAATGAGTTGTCTTGTTTTTTTTGTGCTTTGCAGATAAACAAGAAGAGATGTGGTTGTGTGCGTGGGGGGGGAGGGGGAGGAGGTGAGGGAGCAGAGAAGAATATGTGCTGGAAGTGTGTGTTTGCGATAATATAAGCAAGCGTGTGTTTTCAGATAAAGCGAACGCCAGAGAGGAAGAGATTTTGTACTCCCTCTAATGCACTGGAGGCTGTGCTGTAAATGATCATTGAAGGGTCTGCAAGCTAACCTATAATTACTGCAGATAAAGTGGCAGCTCTGGCATTTCATAAGCATGTCTCCTCAAAGCTTTGCTTTGTGAGTTTGTCTCCAATGATCATTTAGATAGAGGCTCATTACCCAGCATCACAACACTTTAGGAACCCTTTTTTCACCACATATTTGCGCTACCGCGTACGTGTGTCTGGAATAGAGGTCTATCTTAATGGTTGAGATTTTTTTTTTGTGTGTGTGTGTGTGTGTGTGTGCGTGTGTGTGTGTGTGTGTGTCCTACAGATGAAATCCAATCGAGACAAAAACCTTCATTGACTGTTATGGCTGTCTGGCCACCTTTTTTCCTTCTAATGAGGCGAACACACCAGATACGTTTAATATGTCTGTGGCACGATAATGCACCTTCAAGTGAAGAGCCGCCTTTGTGTGTCAAATGTTGCCCGTGTTAAATTGTGTGTATTGTTTTCAATAAATTAGGGGGACAAAACCATTCTGCTGGGCCAGCACGTTTTATTCTTAGAAGAAAGCAGCTCTCAGGGTGTCACTGAAGCCCCCCCAAGCCCGTTCTACCACCACCATCACCTAAACTGGCACAGACCTATTGTCATGTTAAAAATGGTGCCTCACACCATCCATATTACTGCTAATTACTTCATTTCAAATAGGAACAATGGGTTCCAACTGGGATCCTATAGGTAATTGTCGCTGTATGGAAATTATCATAAAAACAAAAGTTGATACTGTAATTATAATCCACCACAATTTTCGTCTAGGTAAACCAGAGTTCTCACAGCTGTGCCACATGAAACCTTTAAAAAATACAGCAAACCCCTTGAACATTTTTTTAGGTTTCGACCAAAACCTTCAGTGGTGAAAGGTGGAAAGAAAGGTTTTCAAAGATGTTGTTTTAAATAAAAACTTGGGAAAAGCATGATGTATTTAATTTTTTTTTACCTCCTTTTATTTTTATACTCCTAATTAAAATCCTGCCCATGCAATATGTTTCAGAGGTCACTTAATTTGTGTAATTGTGAACTAACAGCATTACGAAAGCAAGATTAGGTTTCAAAACAACATCCCGAAAGCTATATGAGATGACTGCAAACAATGTGTGGTGGAAAACTGAAAGTACATGCCTCCCTTAATATATTATAACTGTGAAACACGGTGGAGGCAGAAGCATGTGTGGGGATATTTTTCTTGCTGGTCAGAGTTGAATATCTGATGGACGAAAGTAAAATACAGGGCAATACCCAAATAAACCGCAAACATCCGAACATCTGTACAATCTTTTTTTTTATATATATCAGTGTGAAATTACAATTTGGCTGTCTCTTTGTCCTTTCAGGCACCTAAACAGTGAGCACGCCCTCGATGACAGAAGCACAGCCCAGTGTAGAGTCCAGATGCAAGTCGTACAGCAACTTGAAATACAGGTAAGTTTCTTAATTTTTTTTTTTTAAGCCAGTAATAATGTCTTAATGGAGTAAATTCAAACGGTTGTATTTTTTTTTTTTTTTTACATTAGTGTAGCCATAACTCCAGCAGTCAAAACTTTATTTTGTGAAACTTGCACAAGTAGGAGAAAAGGCCGCATTGTGGTTTGCTTAATACTTCCAGACAAGCAGGACCTGCTGAATTCAACAAAGCCACTAAACAAAGGAATCCTCGGGCCTTACAACGAAAGCCATTATGGCTGTTTTAATTGAATTAAGCCCATGCTTTATTTTCTCTGCTGCTTCCGTTTTTTTTTTTCTTCCTCCTTCTTTTTCTTTCCAATTAATAGCGAGCGCATCTCTCCCAGTCTGCTGTGTTAATTAACTGCACTTTGCACCTGAAGAAAGCTCAAAAGGAGGGAACTATTTTCAGTAGGTGGAGCGTGACCTTATTAAGAAGTCATGTTGGATAGATAATGAGAGCGCTGATTGAGTGACATTATTACTCAGCACTGCAGACGAGCGCCGCTCTGCCTTTAGAAACAAATAAAGACGGGGCGAACAAATGTTTCGGCACCCTTGGCAAAGATGTCTAATAATAATAATAATAATTTAAAAAAAAGTCAAATAAATTCTCATTTTATTGCAGTTACTGCAATGTCACGCAAAAAGTTGGAAAAAAAAAATCGCCTTTACCGTAAATGTTTTATTCCATGAAAAGCAAGAAGTAGTTGATTTTGTAGAATCACCGGTGGCACGATTGTTGGTACAGTATTGTGTCCAACTGCTTTTTGACAATATAACATAATGTAGGGCATGTAATAAGACATCCTGGACTCTTGTAGTTTATCAGAATTTGAATTAATCTCTAAGATTTTAAGAACATATGTTGAGCACTTTGGTCACTCAATTTTCTGCTTCGCCACAGTCCTTGAAAGTCATCAAACTAAAGAACTTTCACTCAGTTTGAAATGTCTTTGTTGGAAAATGTTCCCCTCCCAGCGTGATTACATTGTCGGTCTTGTTCTCTTTTGCTCCTCCACTCTGTAGCCCCATCATCTCTGTTTCTTTTCACCACCAGACCCATCACTTGTAATGAGGCCCAGCTCTGTGTGCGTGTGTGTGTGTCATTAAGGGGCGGGAGGTTTTCCGCCTTTCACAAGGTCCGGTCCCTGTCACTCCAGGTGAATTAGATTGATGATGAGCACCGGCTGGGGCCACTAACTGGACCGGGGAGGCGGGGCCGCCTGGCACCCTGTTTGGGAGACCCCTTCACCTCTCGGCAGCTGCTGGCTGCGCTCCATCCCCCTAACTGTGTCCACAGGACTTTGAGCAGACGCTCAGGACCACCTAATTTATGAGCCAACCACCTTGTTACTGTCAAAGCCTTCGCTGACCTAAATTCGGATATTGACAAAAAGATGAAATGCTATTTGTTTTGCCTGACCTGGGTCTGTTCTCCCCTTCCTTCCCTCCTTTCCTCCTTCTTTCCTTTCCTCTTTAATCCACCCTAATGCACTCTCTCCTCTCCTTCTTTCTTAACAGCTTTCTAAAGAACGTGAGCGTCTTCAGGCGATGATGACCCACTTGCACATGCGGCCCTCAGAGCCCAAGTCATCTCCCAAACCAGTGAGTGCATATTGCTCTGCCTCCCGTAAACACGCTCGCCTCCGATCGCCGAAAATGAACAGTTTAAGCGGGCGGCAGAAGATGAAAGGGAGGCGAATGGGATTTGTAATACACAGTTACACGTGCTCCTTATCGCTTTTTTGTGCATTGTGAGAGGACAATAGAGTTTGGGAGTGTATTAGATGGCGGAGCGACGGAGTCCTCGGCTAAAACGGCGGGAGTAATTTCTTTGTGATAGCTATAATAGGGCAAAACAACCTGTTGGCCGCCGATGATTGTTTGGCTCGGTGGCCGAAGAAGCGCTCAGAAGTGGAATGAAAGGAGAGAAGATGTGTCATTTTGACAACAAACAGCAGAAAATAACAGCTCAGTGTCGGAGACTGCGGGATGTTGACATGAAGCTAAAATTGACCGCAGGAGAATAAAAATGAAAAAGGGATTTCAGTCTGGGTCCTTTTCCCCTTTCTCCTAAATGGAACGCTTATGAAAAGCGTCTTATCCAAGCGATATTTGAATTTCATATCCCGATTATACATTTTGGCAAACACTGCTACCCCCTCACACCCTCTCAATTTTAGGAGTTTTGAAATATGAGACATCAAAACATTGTTAGCGTTTTAATGCTGCTCAGTAAGTGCCCACGTTCAGTTGAATCATTTTCCCAATCACCTCTCATCAGAGAATGTAGACGATCACAAGATAGCATAATTATTCCATAATTCCACCAGAAATCAAACCCTTTTTATTATTCCAAGTCCCCTTCCTTTACTCTCCGTCTGTGTAGCACTTTTTTTTATTTTATCATCTTTAAAACTCCAGCAGCTAGGCGCCAGCTCGTCCAATAAAGAATTTTCAGCTTCTAATCCGTGCCCGAATATGAATGAATGATGCTAATGAAGTATTGCATTACATAAAGCTCACATGAAAGAGCAGCTAATTGCATTTGATGGTGGGGGTAATTCAGACAGAATTCCTAAACGAACAGTTAAGTCATTAGATTTGTTTTTTTTTTCTTTTCTTTTCTAAGACCTCTCTACTTTTTAAAGTCTGACAAGATAAAGATTTGTTTTGGGGATGATGGAATAGAAATAGCGTAGATATTATGTATGTTTGTGCTTTGCAAAGGTATTCAAACACATTCCAGTTTGTTTTAATTGGATATAATGTAGAAGAGGCACTACTATTGGTGCATAAATGTGAAGGGACAATTAGAAAAGAAGCCTTAAATGACTTTGGAGGAGCTGCAGGGATCCACAGCTGTCATAGCAAGTCTGCCTTTCTTCTCTTATAGAACAGTGAACAAAAGAAAACCAAAATTATGGTTATCATCTGGAAGAAAGTGCTCTGATTAGACAAAAGCCAGTTTGAGATAACAAAAGGCTGGATTTCGATCAAACATTGATGATGTAGACTGACCAAGTCCAAGTCCAGAACTAAATCCAACTGTGACAACACTTCAAAGTAGCTTGCAAACATTTTCCAATTTAATATTCCTATTTTTTTGCCAAAATCAATGGGCAGAAATTTCAGTCTCTAGATGTAAACGTCACCCAAATGATCTGCAGCTCTATAACATCTTGTGAGTCGTGGGTTCAACTTCTCCAGAGTCCCATTTCTGGAAGGCTGAACACAAATGCATGCCACACTTCACTTGTGCTATTTTGCGTTGCGCTACTTTGACAATGCACTGTCATCGGATAAACCAGGTACAGAGTGTAAACTCTTTTTACCCATGACAGAATTAGCTCATTAGTACACCTCTCCATTGCCAGAATCTCTTTACCTTGACATTTTATCATATTTTTCAACACTAGCAGCAAATGACCACGGATGCTTTCTCCTTTTTTTTTTTTTTTTTTTTTTGCTTTGCCCCCTCTCCATCTCCCAGAGCCTTTGGCTCCCACACTGCTTCCCATCTTTCAAGTCGCCTTCAATTCGGAGATCTCAATGTGGACGCATTCCACTCGCAGGCTCACAATTAAGGCAATTTGGCTTGAATATGTAACGACGTCATTACCATTCCAGCTAAATTAGCGCAGGGACTAAAAGGTCAGCGAGGAATTTTCCAGTCGGTTAGAGCCTCTGATATGAGATTTGGGAAGCAAGTACAGAAGCGGCGGACAAGCCGGACGGCTACCGCGATCATCACTCGCTCACTGCGCACGGCGGAAGAGACAAAGACTCACAGAAGAGAGTGTTTATGTCCACAGTGGCCATCTAGCCCATCCATGCGGATTTGCTTCTCATGGGAAAGAACTTTGACTTTCTAAACTTCCTTCTGCACTGGAAGTCACTTTGAGTTAGGGCTTTTAAGACTCTCCTTTTTTGTAATAAAAAAAGTTGTTGATTTAAAGTTCCGTCAATGCGAGCATTGGCGCGGCAGTAAATTTAAACTGCCAAGCTATCAAGCGATGCTTTTAATAGAATTATGCCCTCTTTTCATGTGCAGCAAAGCCTTTTGCCATCAGTATTCTATGACCTCAGGGTTTGTGGGATATTCTGACCAGGAGGCAACTCTCTAAATCCTCACATCAAAGCAGTCAGGAATGTTGCTGTCGGTGGGAATGAGCCGAGTAAAGTCAGTGAGACCTGGCCATGGACAAGTTTATATATATATATATATATATATATATATATATATATATATCTGCTTCAAACTTTTAACACTATTGTATTAATCAATTAAGATCTAAACCTAATCCCAGAATGCATTTTGCAACCTAAGCATGAGAAAACAACCTAGAGGACTTGTCATTGCCTTAGTTTATTATTTATCTTCAGCACACATTGAGATATTTTTTTAACTTTTACTAAAGTCTCACAATCAATATAATGGTACTAATGCCTAGCAAATGTCTTCTTAACTGTTGAACTGTGTCAAATTACGAACACATGTTTGTATATTGGGATGCAAATAGTGAAAGGTGAGGATCCCAACCCCACAGCACTCTACCGCCACTGTCATGTGTTCAGGGTGTCCGTTTTCTCTCCCATGCTCATCATTCCTGCACTTTTCATAGACTTTAGATGTATTTACACTTTGATTAAATGAGAGGTTTCAAAGACTTTGAAAACTACATAAAAATAAAAACACCTGAATACCTTTTTAAAGGCACTACTGAATACTTAGTCAACTGTGCTTTTTAACGGGCATTTATGTTCCAAAATCGTTCAGATTTCCAAAAGGTATCTGTCAATATCAAGAAGCTTGTACCCGTCATTTCACAAGGGAGAGATAACCTGTGTTTGGGGGCTCGTTTCTTCGCTGCTTAAGAACGATGAGTGTTTGTAGCGCGGCGAGATAGCCGGGGAGGGAGCGAGAGAGGCAGAGTGTGATAAATAAAGAGATAAAGAGAGATGGGGCTGGGATAACATGGAGGCTGATCGTTGGATAATCTTGAACAGCGTGCTCTAATTAGAATTCTTATGACACAATTTGGTGGTTGTAATTAGTGGAGATGGGCTGGCTCCTCTCCACGAGCCTTGTTAGTGGAAACACAGCTGTGTTAGAGAGGAGCGGCGCAGACGCTCAAATCTGTCAGGGAAACCACAAAACGATGCCTTCCGCCTCCTCCTTTCTCCCACATTCATGTGTGTGTGTGTCTCTTTCCCACATCATGAGTCATGACTCGCGTTTCGTTTTCTGCCCCGCCGCAGCTCAACTTGGTGTCGAGCGTCACCATGTCGAAGAACCTGCCCTCGACGTCGCCCCCGAACTTACCTCAGACCCCCACCACGCCCACAGCCCCCATCACGCCCATGGCGGCCATGCCCCAGGTGCCGTCGGTACTGGGAGGAGCCAACGTCCCCAGCATGGGAGCCATGCGCAGGCGCCACTCGGACAAGTACTCCATGCCTTTGTCGTCGGGTAGGACCAACTACTCAGCACTGCACTCAGCACCACTTCACTCAGATCAAACTGGTAGCTACAATGTGTTTTTTGCGCAATCTAAAATTTGAAGTTTCCCACTTATTGTCATGTTACATCCAAAAACTTTCGATATATATCATTGGAATTTCATGTGATTGACTAACATAAAAGTTATGTGTGATTATAAAGTGACAGGAAAATGAATGGTTTGCGTTCTTTTTGTAAAAGTTTCTTTCTCTCATTTCTAGTCACCACTTCTGAGTTACTATTTTGTACAGCCACTTTTCTCTAAACCATCAAAAATTCTACAAAATCAGTGAATTACATTTATTTGTAATCTACCCTCTTTACACTGGTACCCCTCAATAAAAACCTTCTACTTCACAATTATTTACTACTTTGGTTTGGTCAATTTTGTAAAGTACATTTAAAACACGATGGTAGCAGCTTTATGCTACAGGGATGCTTCTCTTTAGTATCGACGGGGAAGCTGGTCAAGGTGATGTTTGGTTGTAACATGACGAAAATGTGCAAAAGTTCGACGGTAAAAGTATTTTTTTTTTTGCAAGGCCCTGCAGTTATTTAACATAATAATGGAATAAAATTTACTTTTGTTTCATTTTAGCCGAGTTTTAATTTAAAATTTAATTACTGCCGAAACGGAAAATTACAGCCATGCCTCAACGCTAAGTGCAATTAATAGTTCGAAACCGAGAATCGCACACATCTCACATCTCAGATGTACACAATCACAAAGGCGTGTTTGAGAAGTCTGTTAGGTTTATAAAAGCAAGCCTGTATTTAATCACTCCAAATGTAAACAGACAAGAACTTCCTCTGCACATAAATATTGCATGAATGTTAATTAAGTTCAAATAATGGTGGAAAAAAATACAATATTTATTACATTAGGACATCCCATGTATTAAGCTTTTGCATTTTAAACGACCCGTCTTTGATGTTTATATTTACGCGTTTAGTGTGAAGAAGCATAAATTATTCAACTTCACCCTAACTAACTACACGGATCTCATATGTGGATGTATAACTGTTTAATGTCTCTCACGAGAGAGATTAATTAAAAATGCATTTTGTTAGACATGGAAAGTGCTGATTTGATGTGCCCTCCCTTTCACCCCCCCCCCCCACCCTCTTTGTCCAACTCCCCCTTCCCCACACCCGTCCACCCATCCTCACCCCCTCCCCAGTATTAATTTGATGAAAACTTGAGCAAACTCAGCACCTAAAGGTATCAAATTTGCCAATTATTTCAGGTGGTGACACAGTATTTATTTTTCCAGAGATTGCCCCAAACTACGAGTTTTATAAGAACGCAGATGTCAGGCCACCATTCACTTACGCAACCCTCATAAGACAGGTGAGTGGGAAATAAATTAACTTTCGCCTGATTAGATTTGAGTTAATTGCTCCACCTTCTCTTGGCTTTGTCACTCTCAACCGAGCCACGGCGTGATCGTTGTTTTGGTGTCATTTTAGGCTATCATGGACTCCGCCGACATGCAGCTAACGCTTAACGAAATCTACAGCTGGTTCACGCGCACGTTCGCGTACTTCCGGCGCAACGCTGCAACTTGGAAGGTAACCCTGCTCTGCACTTTGCTCCCTACGAGTGCAAAACGTGAAAATGGCTTGAATTACTCCTCAGCACTCCTCCATTCTTTTTTCCTCTTATTTATTTTTCCACCACAGCATCTTTTCTGTTTAGAAATGACAGCTGGAAGAATCATCCCTCCCACCCCCTCACCCCACCACGTATCGTTTTCTAATTTGGTGCAATTAATAGCGGAGGCCCGGTGTAGAGAGGAGAGGGCTTTGACGCCCTAATTATACAGCAGCCACTCCATCATCAGCACCTTTTGTTAAGAGATACACCCCTCCTCCTGGTCCTGAAACCACCTTCTCTCGCGTATCACTGGTTAATTGTGAGGAAGGGTAGCTGGTTTTCCCGTTTACCAGCTCTCTGGCGCACCAATGCATAAACTGACTCCAAGAAGAGGGGTTAACTGAAGCAGGGAGGTTGGAAGGGGGGAGCAGGAAGTGAGAATAGGCCTGTCATGGAGGGAAGCACTCTTTATTTACTTACACAAAAGGACCCCATTTGTATGTCTGTCGCTACAACTTTATGGTCCTGTCCGGCCGCACAAAGATGGTGAAAAATGTGCGTGCCGCAGAACGCGTTTTCAGCCAGGAGTGTGTCTGCGTGCTGATAAAGGAAGCCCAGCCAGAGTCTTCAACGTTTCATCCTGTGGCCCCTTCCGTGTCATCTGTTTTTTTTTTTCCTTCCTTTCTTTTAGCCTTTGTGGCTGCACAGAGAGGACTGGAGGGAAAATCTCCCAACAGCCGCTCATCAGCATGCAAGATGTGTTGCGGCACTAGATTTAGCAAAGTGAATTAATTTGGATTTGGGATGCAAATGAGCGCACGGGTGTGTGATCGCCAATCCGAGAGGGGGGGCCTGGGGGGCACGTGTAGAGATCAGCGCCCTTTTCCAGTTTGTTAGGTACAGTAGCGCACCACGTTTTGCTGCGTAAGACTGTTTTGACAGGGTATGTCTTTTGCCGTGGAAAACATCAGATCCTCTGCTGGTTTAAAACCAGTTTCACCAGTCGTTTCCCCCCCAAAACGAGTCCCATTGTTCCAGTGACTTTAAAAACGTCTCCAGGTGATCTATTTACATCTGCAGCTCCACGACTCCCTTTGTAAGCATTAGCAGGCTGATCAGCGATGGGCTTCTCATTTGATTAACAGAGTGAATGTGTTTTTTTGTGGGGGGGTTTTTAAGTATCGAGAGCAAAAAGAAATGAAAGGTAGTTTAATATCACAGCTTCGTCTCATCTCAAAAGAGGGATCTGCCCCCCACCCTATCCCACTTTCCCTTTCTCTCTCTTTTCTCTCACCCAGAAGCTTATTAGTTCTAACTATATAGCATGCATAATAAAACTGCTCATTTGCTCATTAATATTAAAATTATCATATTCAGAGCCATGGGCATTAAGATCAATCAAATCATGGGATTTTCAGGTCAGATGCAAGATCTGCTTATGAGGTTTTTTTTTTTTTTTGAATCCCTTTCTTTTGCAGAAAGAGCTGTACACACCAAGCTAAGGGGAGATGATAAATATAAAAGACAGGGATATTAAAGCCGGGGTTATTATTTGTAGGGCCCGATGCATGCTTTAATCATGCTTATGTGGTCATATAATTTTCCTTCTATTTTTTTTTTTTCCTCCTCTTGTTTTAATTCATGCACAAATTCTGCCGTTTTTAATTTCAAGACGGCAAATTCCAAACGCGAAACGGAAAGAAGAATATTTGGACATCTTAGATGTCTAACCCTCTCTCCAACACGCACACATAAATATATATATATACACAATGATACGAGGCCTTCTAGGAGACAGTTTCTTTTTTCTTTCAGTACTGTCATCTTTAAAGCGATGTGTCCATTAAGAGCTCTGCTTTTCTGGAGCAGGAAGGGTTACTGACATCACCATTATCAAGGCCGGCATTACCACTTCTGTCACCACCATAAGCCATTCGCTATGCTGATTACCTCCTTTTAGCCTACTTACTCTGATTGATATGTACTGTGTGCAGGACTTGTAAGAGCATTCACTCTCACTCAATTTTTACTAATTAAATCAATGGTGCGTGAATGTTAAGAATTTCTTCAAAATGTAAAAGAAAAAAAAATCAATTTCCAGGCCTCCTTCTTCTTCTTCTTCTTTTTTCCTTTTCTTCATGATGGAAAATGAATGAATATGATTTGTTTTACCTCATCCTGCCTGACCTGCGCTCGTCTTTTTTTTTTTCCTCTCTCTCTCTGCAGAACGCCGTTCGCCACAACCTGAGTCTTCACAAGTGCTTCGTGCGCGTCGAAAACGTGAAGGGGGCGGTGTGGACGGTGGACGAGGTGGAGTACCAGAAACGCAGGTCACAGAAGATCACAGGGTAAGGGTAGCGCCACTTACCTTCTCCCATGCAAAGGTGCTAATATCCCTGGAAGGTTTTCACACATTGCCACAGACTTTAATGTAATACGAGTGATTTTATGGGGTGGTCCAAAATGTAATTGTGAAAAAAAGGAACAAAACAAGTTGAGTTTTTGTCTGAACTAAACACATTGTTCCACGGTTGTAGGGTGCAAACCAGACTTCTTATGGCTTTTTTTCTTCCAGCCACTCTTTCATAACGTTGTTCAATGCATGCCATATAGTTGATAATGACACATTGTTGGGCATTACTCGTCCAAACATTTCTCAATCGGCTTGATTACAATTGGACGCCACACCTTTCAGATTCTTAGTTTTAAGAAAGAAATGTAAAACCTTACAAAGTTTCCGGTCAAATGACAAAACCCCAATGATATCGCAGTGTGACAGTTTGTGGATATTTTCGAAACCAGAGTTTGCGATGCAAACGTGTGAAACTGCAAAGAAAATGTGGGTTTATTTAAATAGTGTGCGAAGTTCGACAATGCAAGGCACAGCAAACTATGTTACAAAGACGAGGTCAAGCATTGGATAATCAACATTTACGTGTGAATTTGTTTTTTTGTTGTTGTTTGTTTTCCTCAGAAGTCCATCTCTCGTGAAGAACCTTCCCTCCAGTCTTGGCTACGGAACAGCGCTAAATGCCAGCTTACAGGTAGAGCTCCACATCAGATCCTACATTTAGTGTAAAGCGGAAGCATTATTCTCTTCTTCCCTTTTCTCTCCTCTCTCACACGCTTCCTCCACTCCTCCCTTCTTCCTTCCACCTTCAGACCCAGAAGGCCACCCTGTGGTCAAACTGAGCAGAATGTCTTCCCTCCCTCTCCCTGCTCTCCTCCCTTTCTCCCAGTTTGTTGCAGCCACCTTAGATTGATTGTGGCATGTGCAAATGCAGGGGCATGTGCATTAATATTTATCTAAGCTGTCATAAATGATTTGGCTTCATAGTGTACGCCAGCGAGGTGCTCATGGCAAAAACTTTAAAAATTTAATCACTGTATATAACTTTAATGCGTAGCAGGCTAAAGTGTCAGGAGTTTTTATTATTTTGAGGTAAAGTTTTTGGGAACCTTTTTTTTTATATATTATTATTATTTTATTAATACATAACCACTCCACACAAAGGCATTTGAATGGCAGTTACTGGGAGGTAATCTGCAAGCTTTCCACACATGGGAAAGATTTCTTGCAACATAATAAGAGAAGGATATTGTATTTTAGTAATTGCCATGGTAAATCATTTTATTCCCTCAGCTGTCTCTTTTTTCACTCTTCACACTGCCTCTCAGCCACTAAATACCTTCTGTCTTTGCAATCCATTTATTCACCCAACATTTCATGTAATTATGCTTCATATGCTTCTCATATTTCTTGTTCCTTAATAGTCACACGTCCCCCTCATTCTTTACCTTTACCCTCACCAGCCCGTGCCCTCTTCTCTCTCTCTCTCTCTCTCTCTCTCTCTCTCTCTCATTCTCATTTCTTTTTTTTTCTCCGTCTCTGCAGGCCGCTCTGGCGGAGACCTCCCTGCCATTGCTGGGGACCCCCGGCCTCATGACCAGCGCTGCGGGGCCAATGGGCGGCAGCTGCCACGGCCTGCTTGGCGGTGACCCGTCCGGACCAACCGGCGGCAGCCCGCCCGGGCTGTTGGGCGGGAGTCCGCCCGGTTTGCTGGGGATCAGCCCGCCAGGAACGCTGAGCTGCAGCCCCCCGACCATGTTGCAGTCTGCCCACGAGGAGCTCAACGGCTCGCTTGACCACCTGGACACCAACGGACACAGCAGTCCTGGATATTCCCCTCCAGTACACATGTGAGTAGAGGAAAAGAAACTGCCACGCTTGTTTAGTTTTGCAGTTTTAAGAATCCTCCACAGGGATGTCCATGTGCTTTTTCACATTTTCTTAAGAACCACAAAGTATTTAATGAAGTTTCATGTAATAGATTGACAGAAAGCAAAGCATGATTGGTTTCAAATTAAAGCTTGAAAAGTGCAGCATGACTAGAAAAACTTCAGCAATAGACAAAAAGAAAAAAATCAATTCACAATCTAAAAATGGAAAAGAAACATGGCTGCAAAACCTACTAGGAAGTGACCTAGCAGCCACTTGGTCCATGATAACTGGACCATGACTGGGCGAAAAATAAAAAGGCATTAAGAATTCCCTTTTGCAGTTCTATGCCCTGATAAAATTAGACTAAGATTGGACTTAGTCATCCAAAATGATCTCTGTGGCAGAAAGCTAACACTGCATATCTCTCCACTCGGAACAGTCCATCCCCCATATAAGGCATGGTGGTAGCAGGATTATGCTGTGGGGATATTTTCCTCAGCAAAGATGGGAGAGCTGGTCAGAATTGAAGCGAAGTCGAATGCAGTCAAATACAAGACAATCCTGAAATAAACAAAAATGAGAGCTTGCAAATCCTTGAGACTGAGCAGAGGTTCTACAAAGTATTAACCAAAGAGGGGCGCTGCGGTGGCGCATGTACTCATGTATGGCTCACGGGTTCGAGTCCTGACCTATTGACCTTTGTTGAATGTCTTCCCCATCTGTCGTAACTCACTATCCTGTCAATGCTTTCTAGTGGTCAAATCAAGACCACTAGAGCCAAAAACATCCTTAAAATGAACATTTCTCACATTTGACATTGAAAACAGTAAAGCATGTACCTTTACTTGGCTAATATGGCAGAATTAGAAATGGCTCAATGGGAGAAACTTACTTCTGCAAGGAACTGTTTTTCCAACAGTGTAACACTGAAAGTACGACTTTATAAAGATACTTGTAGAATAAATTGCACCGGAACCACCAAATAAATCTCCTCTCGCCCACAGTGCTAAATACGTTAAAAAAAAAAAACTAAAAAAAAACCATTGCGTTTAAATGCTTTGGAATTTTTTAACAGCGATAAAAGCGTTGCCAATTTCCACCTTACAGATCTGTAAGTGTTCTTGCTTGATAATGCAAGCCGAAGCCGCCTCTCCCTCTTCCATGCGCCCACCTCCTGCTCCACGTTGCTCTAATTGTCTGACATTTAACCCCCTGAATCAGTGTCTGTTTAGTTAGCACCGACCTCGGGGCAGAGCTCAATTTCTATGCTGGATTGGATTGTGAGCAGACCTTCCTCTCTCTTTTAGTGGGATTTTATTGCCTTTGTGGTCGTACAGTTCGAGTCTATATATAGGACCTTGCTATCAAACCACTCTGTACATTTTAGCTGCTTTTTTTTTAATGGAGGACTGTTTGTATTAATATTTAGCAAGCATAGCACTAATTACTTTAATCTCCATCTCCTCTTTATGTAGCTGGGAGAGAGTGTTTGTGCTTGACTTTAAGAAACATCCAAGCCACACACACATACACACTCAGGCTACAGTTTGAAACAAAACACACCAAATATATCCTTTTAACGCTTCTTACACGCTGCCTATCAAAGCCTCCATTGCAACATTAGCTAACCATTTGTGTAATGGATAAAGGATGCTTCCCACTGCCATGTGAGTAAATGTATTTATGAGAAAGGAAGCGTCCATACCTTAATATATTTAGACGTGTTTACCTCTCCTGAAAGGGGGTGCTAAGTGAGGCAGATTTGCCATGCTCCTGACAGTCTCCCAGTGTTTGCACTCCCTGAGGTCATTTAATTTTCAGTAACAGGACAGCGCAGACTTTTTTCCCCTGTTTTTCTTCCCCCCCTCTGCTTTTCGCGGCCACGTCGTCTCGACACCGACACAAGTTGTTATGGGGAGGACGAGAGGCGTCTAGCCCCTGCCCTTTTTTTTCACGCGGTCCACAACAACCTTCGAAATGGAAGAGATGTGTTCTCCGGTGCCACTTTTCGCTGTACGCGCTTAAATAATGGAGCGGCTTGCAGCACTAAACTAAATAGTACATCACCTCGAAGACCTGTTTTGGGAGGAGAGTCGTCAGCACAACTGAGTCCATTCAGCTGTTAGACAAACCTCCTCTTCCCCTAAATGTCTAAAGGTTAATGATGTCTGCTTAACCACAGACCAGCTTGCCCTGGGCCATGCTGGCTGTGTGTGTGTGTAAGTATGCATGTGTAATAAACTCATGTTCACCCTAAGGGGTTCTGCTTAAAAGAAGTGGTAGCTGTTATAACCAGGAAGGCCTGAACTTACAATTAGAGCTTCCAACTTCTCTCGTACTCAACACAATATGTCGAGGTCCAATTATTCCGTGTTTTGTCTCATGTTTTTAATTGTTTCGTGTCCGCCTCTCATTGGTGTGATGAACATCTTTCTTTTATTTCTGCCCCTTCCCTTTTCCTACCATCAACCTCCTGGACTAATGACCTTATTTGCATCCCTGGCTTTACCTCTGCACAGTTCCCAACGCTAATCTCCGACTGATATGAGAGCAGGCGTCTTGGCATATTTATTACGCCGCATTTCAGACCGGCGTTTACTCCTCAAGTGACTCGATAATGGCATCCAGCCATTAGGCGCTAAATGGCTCATCCACATATTTTAATAAAGCGTTGGAAAGCCGAAAGCGAATACGGCAGCTCGTAATTTCTTTTTCTTTCTCTTTTTTTCTTGTAAGGCATCCAAACATCCTAATGAGGATTATTTTAGCAGCGAAGAATCATTAATATTTTTGATGCGACTAGAATCGGGATCTTCTAGCGAGGCGAGAACGAGGAGTGGGTTCTCGTTGCGTTATCTGACGTCGAAATATTTAAATTTAAATGTGCGTGAAAATAGAAAAAGTGTTCGCTGAATGAATTTTTTTTCCCCCCCCTTTCGTGTTGCATTTTGATGTTTTTCTCGTCTGCAACCACCTCCTTCCCTCTCTCCCCCCCCCCCCCCCCCCCCCCCCCCCCTCCCCCCCCCCCCCCCCCCCCCCCTCCCCCTCGAACTCCCTTCCTGTAAATCCGCAGGACAGAAACAGAAATATTCATCGCTCGGCTCGAATCCTGCTAAGATCTCCTCATCCCGACCACATCAGAATATTAATTTACAGTATTTGGCTCTGAATATTAAAGTCATCTGTACCTTTTAAAAATTCTTTTCAAATTCAAAAAGGCCCCGGCGCCCTGCCTCTCCCCCCGCTGATGAAGGCGGCCCAGGAGAGACGCATCCTAACGTTGCCGCCGCCTGATAAGTCTCCCTCTCCTCTTTCCGAGTCTACGGGGATTTTCTGATGCATCCGATGTGTCAGAAATAATTAGGTTTTGTCAGATTTATCATCGTTGCACAAACCCTTCTCCCCGACTAGGGCTCCGGATCATGTTATGCCTTGTTTGTGTGTGACAGTATTATTATTCTTGTTAGCTGCCCAGCAGTTTTTTTTTTTTTTTCCACCCACTCCTGTGTTGTTCTGAAGGAAGAAGAGGCGTCCTGTGCTGCTTCCTGCCCAGCGCTTATTGACAGTGGCTAAAGATATTCATCCATTTAGAGTTAAAAACATGTATCATGGTGTCCGAGCGAACTGCCGGGGCTGAAGTTGATTAATGGCAGAAGCAAGCTGCTGGTTTTTCCTCTTGAGGAGCGACACGCCACAGCCTCTGCATATTAACGAGTGGCTGCGCTTTCTATTAACTAGATAAAAAAGCCTCTCCTCTGCCTTTGCTCCAGGGGGCTCAGGGATGAGAAATTCTCCATTATTTATCATGTGGCCTGTTTCCCCCCCCCCACCTCTTTTTTTTTTCTTCATGTATTTCAACCTGGTGTCATCAGTAAACTTTTAAATGCCAAACATGTCTGGAACATCACAGCTTATCGGCCTTACAGGGGCCGTGTTTTTCATGCAATTTTCATGTGCTTACTTACAGTAGACGTGAGGCATCGTGTCGAATTAGCGTCTTGCAAACAACATGGTTTTTACTGTCACACTTGTTTTTTGTTTTTTTTTTGTTACAAGAAAATGTCAAATTGTAAAACAGGGGATGGGTTGGAAAGAGATTCTTACCATGAGACGATATTAGGTAAATAACTTCAATTCTGTTGTTTTTGTACGCACAAAGTTTTAGACAAATGCTTTTTGTTGAAGCAAAACCTGAAAAGCAGTCTGCTTCTATGACCAGAACATTAAAAAGCGTTCTAGGTGTAGAGCTAACTGCATTTAGATGAAGCTTCAAAGTTTTTATAGTGCCCTTTGTATACAACAAGCTGATGTCCTGTGAGTTGGGCAATCTGCATAGGTAGCGAGCCTACGGCCATCTTGTCGACTTGAGCAAAATAGCTAAATTCGTCTTTCTTGCAAACATGCAGAAGACAACAACAGATAAGGGGAAGTGGCCTGTCACTCTGTGCTCCACATAGACAGGAAAAACTCCTCCTAGTTACTAGTTGCCATTTCCTCCCTTCCTACTTTCTGTTTCACAAGACCCATGTACCTAACAGTTTATTTACCTTGGTAGCTATGTTTTTTGTAATTATTATTGCTCATAGTTAATTGTCATAAAGCGTGTAAAAGTTAATATACTAGTATATTTTTCTTCTGAGGAATATTGCGGGCCTGATCCCATTTGATCTAGTTGGACATTGACCTTAAATAGCCATTAGAGTCACAAAATCAGATTTCCGTATGGTAGAGTTTGATTAGTCAGTTTAATTAATTAGTTATCAGATGAGATATGGCATTTGGTCGCTAAGGGACAGTTGAAAACGAAATGATCAGATGGGCAAAATGACAGAACGACCAGCTCCCTAAATGACCCCAATACTGGAAACCAGTCAATGCAGCGAAAGGGAAGGATATTTACCAGTTCATGGATCACCAGAGTGGTTTTCCTCTAGCTTCCTTCTTGAGTAAAGACCAATGCTTGTCTAAGAATATTTGAAAAAATTGACATGTATGTGCCCATGTCCTGTTCCTCACAGGCCACCTGTTCACGTGAAAGAGGAGCCGCTCAACATGGATGACGACGACTGTCCGATGTCGCTCGTGACGACGGCCAATCACAGTCCGGAACTTGACGACGACCGGGAGCTGGAGGAAGGGAACCTATCGGAAGACCTGGAGTGACTAGGACACGATCTTTGGTCAATGTGTCCCACCAATCTACCGCACTGTTTCTCTTACACAGACCTGCAAGGCTAGAAACCACTCCACCGTCCAAGAACCCACAGCTGACTCACTTTCTCACCACTGGGACTATTTATTGAGCATGTATCCGGATAGAGACCAGTCCAGAGGAACTCTTTGCTGCAGACCTTTTGGATTCCCCAAAACATGACAGACATGAGATGTCTGTTGTAAAAAGAAGAACAAGAAGAAGAAAAAGAAACTCTCTGAGACCTGTTATATGTGGGGAGTGGCATGGCCACATACAGTGAAAGGATGATGGACTCATGGATGGGGGAGGAGACATGAGACAAATAAGCAAATCATGTTCTGTCGAAAGCTCGCGGCCTCCTATACTGCCAAAAAAAAGAAAAAATGGAAGACGTTTTATGTTTGTGAATAACCCAACCCACAGTAGTTGTTAATGTCTAGAGACAATTGCTGGTTCAATTCAAGTTGTTGCTCTGTTATCATTTGCACAGGAGTAGTCTCGGAAAATTGTGTCACTGCCTGTATGTTGCTACTATTATTAAAATCAGCTTATTATTTTTAGCTTTTTTTTTTTCTTTGTTTTTTTCTTTGTTTTTTTTTACCATTGTTAATTTCCAGATCTGATTTATAGACACCACCAACTGTAAATGCCATCCCTCGAATCACAACTGCAGTACCAAGACTGTTTTCGCAACTGTTCGGAGAAAAAAAAAAAAAAAAAAAACAAAAAAAAAAAACAAGGGAAAAAAAAAGTTGGCTTCCAGTCTGTTATGTGTTTGTGATTAAAAAGTCTAAAAATGAAGTTGGAGAAATAATAACAGTTTGTGGAAAAAAAAAAAAGAAGAAAAACGCCATTTACAAAACAAATGCATTTCTGCGTAACTTTCCTCTTGCTCTTCTTACCTCGGCGTTATAAAGCTTTGTCTACCTGCAAACAGTGACAGGCAACAGCTAAAAACCAAAGCCAAACTCTAGCAATGGCCAATAGCTTACAGGCAGAAGCCACCAAACTCCTCTTTTTTGGTCTCACCTTCTGTGACTTTAAACTAGTTCAAAGAGAAGCCTTTTTTTTTTTTTTTTTTTGCTTTTTTTTCTGTCCACAAGCTACCTTGGAAAAACCTCTGGGATTGTTTCATTTAGCCCTATACAAAGATGGTCAGAGCAGAAACGAGTGTCGATTCTTCATGTGTAATTTGGGAACTCATAAAAAAAAAAAATGTCTACTCCGGTTATCTTCTGCCAGGCATTCTGTCTGTGAAATAACCATAAACGTAGACCATGACCAAAATAAAACGTTTGTGTATTCAATAGAAGTGCAAAATCATCTTGATGTTGTGAAGGTTTTGTTAATTTTTTTTTTTATTATTATTACTTTTGTTATGCATTACACATTGAAACTTATTGTTTTTTTTTTTTTTTTTTTTTTTTTTTGTATACAAACCTGTTGGATATCATTTTGTTTTAGGTGGAACCGTCCGAAGGCGTTCACATCTTTACTTTACCGTGGCGGTTTTTGTTCTGAGCTGCGTCAAAACAAAAAAAAAAAGAAAAAAAAACTGAAAACACTACTAACCAAACATGAAAACTATCTAGTGAAGCCAAATAAGTCATAATTTCAAGTTAATATGAAATAATGTGGCTTGGTTAGCATGGGAAAGCAAACAGTGATAGCCATTGTGGAAGGGGAAAATCTAAGGTGACCTTTTCTAGGTGAGATTTGCTTTAACTTCGTCCAGCGCTCATTGTGTGGGTTACGGATTTGAAACTTTGCAGGTTTATACACACACAAGTGTAATCTGGATAGGTGGTCAGCTTTTTACGATACACTTTGTACTTATAGAAGAAGAAGTACTTCCTGTTGTTTTCCTCCTCTAAGCCTGCATTGAGTGCTGGTCATTTCGCCCCTTTCGCCATTTCGTACTTTTGCAGTTTCGGTCGTTTCGCACCCGACTTTTTCAGGGCCAAAATGGTAACATCTGCTGGTGGAAGTTTTGTATCGACAATACACCAATTTGTATCCACTTTGATAACCAAAAGTGATTTTCTTTAATTTACTCATAGTCTGTTGTAGTGAGATTATTTGACTCCATTGTATACCTGCAGGAGGTTGTATTTTATGAGTCAACCGGCAAAATGCTGACACAACCACAAACAACGGGAAAAGAATGCAATGTGAATATTTCAGATAAAATGCAACTGAATCAAATTACAAGTGAGACTTGACAGTTTTGAACCATTTTATGTTCACACTTTATGGAATTTACTTAACAACTAAAAACAAACTCATCATCCTTGAACTTTGTTGCCATGATGTTGGTAGGCAGAATTGCTTTAGACATGACAGAGAGGGGGTATCATTTTTATTTTATTTTATTTTATTTTTTTTACATATCTTGCAATGGTGGTTTCAATTTTGCGATAAAAGATGTTCCAATCATAAAGGCAGTTAAGTAAAGTCCACTTTTTACTACATCCTAAAAGTCAGGACATGTGACAGACCACAAACGGAGAAGTTAAGTTCGAGTCTGGCTTGGAATTCATTGTTTTATTTTTATGCAAACAGCAGTTTAAGCTTCTTTTTGATTGTCTGGTAGCCATGGTTATTGTGTTTGCCTAGTGCTGAGCTTGCCTATCAAAATGGCGGCCCACGTCCGGTTCAGACGAGCCGTAATCACATATTGAAAAGGGGACAAAGGAGGGTTACGAATGACGGCGTGTCGGTACGAAATGGTAAAGGGGAAAAGTGACCCCAAAGTGTTGTCGCTTTAATGGTCATTTCTGTTTTCAGTAAACCAAAGTTACACAAAATTCTGCCTCCTCTTGAACGGGATACGCAGTAAAACTCACACCCATGCCCTGTTCTAGTCTGGCGTAAAGACATACAGAGACCAGGTGGTCAGCTTTACCGTCTTTCACGTACATAATGGCTTTTTAAAAAGAGCGACGCGTTAAGCTTCGTTCTGAACCAAAATCTGAACCGCACTGTGCGTCCGTCGCTTTTGAGTTGTCAGGCCAGAGCTTAAAACACACACTGTACAAAAAGCACTGCTTGTAGGCACATCCTCACGCACCCGAGAGCCGGCGCCGCGTCAAGAGGCCAGGAGTCGGAACAATGCCGACTCCTGAGGAAGGGACAGAAATGACGTTCTTAATAATCTTACTCACACCAAATAAAAAAGGGCGCTTCGTCTTTCATTTAAAGAGAAACAAAAAAACAACAAAAAAAGGGTTCTCCCACTTACTCCCCCCTCCACTCCCACCCCCCAAAAAAAAGGCTTTCCAAAAGCTTCTACCTCTGCACAACAACTTCAGAACAACCACAACAGAGATTGCACGAGTTTCGAGAGCTCTCCCACTTTCCCCACTGCTTGTCTTTCATAGGATGTGGCTCAAAACCAACGTTTACATTCCCTGCGTCAAGATATAGGGAGGAGTCGCATTGTGATAGGTTGTCTGCAAACATTTGTAGAATGATAATGTATAGATTAACCTGTAAGGGGAATATCGTGTTTTTAAAAATGCATGTCTAAAAATCATTTGGTGGACTGGAAACAAAAAGAAATACAATAAAACTCATCGGGACGATGGCCTACGTGTTGCAATGCATAGGAGTGCATTACCTCAGAGGGATAAAAACCTGTCAGCCACAGAATGCATATTACCTGTAGATTTGCATGGGTTTTTTTAAAAATAAAAAAAAAAAAAAAAAAAAAAAAAAAAAAAAGTCTAAAATAGTTGCTTGCACATAATACCAGAAAGACCTCCAGAACTGCGATCTGCTCCTCCACTAGATTTTAGGATTGTCTGGATTTTCTGGGTTGATTTTTGTCTGTATTTTGATAACTGTGCATACTTATGTAAAAAGGAAAAAAGAAAAAAAAAATCACGTCGGTGGACCCATGAAATTTACCAGACTTTTTTCTAAGAGGGACGAGAAAAAAAAAAACAAAAAAAAAAAAAACGAGAGTTCTGTGTTTCTTTTCTGACTTACCTGAATTTTTACTGTTTCTCTCTCATTGCTCGCTAAGAATAGCAAACCTGCTTTTTCTGCATCTGCTTTGCGTAGCTGTAAGGCTTTAACCTAATGTGTGTATTTATTGCTTGTACCTCTGTGCATACTTTATGAAGCATTATGTCTGGCAGTTGAGTCATGTATCCTTTCTACTGCTATCCTTCTCTAATAATTGAGAATATGATCCCCCCCTATGTATACAGTAAATTGGGACTGTAGCAAACATATGTTTATGTAATTGGTGATTTTTTTTTTTTTATTATTTTTTTTTTGGTTTTTATTCTCTTTTACTTTAATCGAGATTCAACAACTTTTTTTTTATACTTCTCATTCCTGTGTACTGTGTCCATATGTTAAAGGTTCTCTGACATTAGAAGGTCATGGTTGAGAATTGTAACAGACATTATTTTCTGTATTCATGGCATTTCACTGCTGAATAAAATAAAGGACCAAAACTTGGAATTTGAAAAAGCAACTGACTACCTCCAGCATCAGAGAGTAAATCATTTCTCTCTCCACTGTTGCACATTTATCTTTTATCCCGCAAAGGCACAGCCATGAAAATCTAGCGTGGCATTACACATTTAAGTTTTCAGGGGCTGCTACTTCAGAGAGATTTAAGAAAAAAATAATAAAAATTTAATGTGTATGTTACAATTTTTTTCTTCTTCTTTTCTGGCAGCTGGAGCCTTGTTTAGGGGAGCGGTACATGGTAGTGCGTTGCTCACCCCTCTGGACCTGTAATGGGTTTAGCCTGTGTGTGATTCAAGCCCACTGCTTTCATGTAGCACAAGCATGTCCCAGTGTAGGAAGAAATGCTGCTTTGAAATGGATTTGTGAGAAGTTGCAAACCTACGAAGGATTTCTATACAGTGAATTTGGCAGAAGTAGGCGCAGGCTGGCTACATTTCTATGGTTTCAAGTCAGTTCATTTAGTCACCAGAGAAAACGCCGGAGCATTTTGACTTTTCCATGGCTCCGTGGAGCGATACGTAACACGGCGTTCCCCCTCCCTCACCTGTTGCTGTGCAATGCCAGTCAGTTCCTTCCTGAAAGAAGCCTCCAACACTCTCTCCTTGTTTAAAAAAAAAGAGAAGATATCTAACAGTTTGGAAGTATTTTGGGTTGAAAAAGACATAAACATGCCTAGTTTATCTATTCTTTTGAAAAAGCTGTTCAAAAGACTTTCTTATTTTAATTATTATTATTTAAGAAGCCAGTTTGCCTGTGAGATGTCTTGGGAAAATCTCACCGGACGCATTCCTCTTGCTTTCAGGCATGCAGTTTATTTTTTAAACAGTAGGTGTCACTTCAGCTCAAATCTGCCGTTTTTGATCAGATGGGAGGAGAAGAAGAGTGTGAAGCGGCAGCTCAAACCCTAATACAAGGTCTTGAGAAGTTTTCAACCAACATCATTAGCTTATAGCTAATTCAGCAGCAGCTTAAGTATTTGCTTAGAGACTAGTTAGCTTGTCTTGATTAGCAAGAGACATTCCATATGATAGACTCTGACTGTCTGTCATACCCGTAAAATCTAGCATACCTTGTGGTAATGCGCATGCGCACATCGATGTTACGGTATGAGTCAGAACACCGGTCCCAAAACTCGCACTGCACCCTAGGCCCCTCTACGAAGTGTGTACTCAACCAAAGTGAACATATAAGTGTTCGAATTTGCAGGTTACAAGCATGTAAAAATTTGAAAACTGTGCGAACATCCGTTTAAACGCATAAAAAACAACAAAACCCCCACGGCTTGCAATTGTGACTGTTAGCTAAAGAGTCAACTGACGTCCCAGCTAGCAAGCAAATGTTCCCACGACGTCCGTGAACGTAGTCTGAAAGTCGAACGTCGAATGTTCGGACCTGATGTTCCGCAAACGTTGTCTTAACATTCAATCTGAACATTTGTTCCCAATTAATTATCTTTTTTTTTTTTTTGCTGTCATTTCACTTGATTTAGTTTTTATATCTTATAAGACATGTGAAGACAAAATGTGAAGATGCATTTAAAGACCTCAAAGTTTGTGACGGTTTTGTTGAAAAGAGATACCACACATGTACCAGGAGCATGTCTGTCTCAGAGGAGACAGCAGAGCTGCTGCTGAAAATAAGGTGTCTGGTAACAATCCACCCTGCTTTACCAGACTCATATATGGTGGAAATAAAGAGCAAAATAAGGATTTGGAGCCGGGATCTGTGGGACACAACTTGCTGGAGTCTTCAGTGGTTAAGAAAAAACAAACTGGTAAGACTTAATTGTTGTCGCTCTCAAGTTACTCATTTGGTGCGTTTTCACAGCTGGAACGTTTTCCAGGTGCAGCTCTACCAACTGCGCCACTGTGCATCATGCCTTCTTTTTTAAATCTCTAAACTCAATCCTTAATCCTTTCATCCCTTTCTCCCTTCACCCTTGCATCCCATTCATCCCCTCATTCCTTCATCCCTTCTTCAGTAAATCTTTAAACTTCTATCTTTATGATGTGGTCCTTTGCTGGTGAATTACAAATTTTCATACATCCATCCATTATGGCTAGAGGCTTCATGGTCTTGGCTTCCAGCATACACAAGTGTTACACATTTTCTTCACCCTCCCTTCTCTTTCAACTTTCGGGTTTCCTCAATCCCAGAGCATGTCGAAGCTTCTTAAAAAATGGCTTCTTTACTGGGAGGGGAGCCTTTGCTTCGGCAGTCTCCTGATCCTTCTGTTTTAGGTCCTCAGAAAGCTGATGATTGCGAGCAAGTTGGCGTTCGATTTCAGCTGTCGATGCATGCAGCGCTTCTTTATGTTTCACTTCATCTAAAAAGAGCTTGTGTTTCACCTCGTCCAGTTCCTTCTGCAGCATGTTCTTCTTGGCGTGGAGGAATTTGGCTCTCTTCCCATTCCGTATTTTAACTTCAACATGCCGATATCGCTCATCCCTGTGCTCCTGCTCCATTGTTTGTATTTCCTCTCTAAGGGCTAAAATATCAACTTCGTACTTCTGGACCATTTCCAGACTCGCATCTTTCACTTGCTCAAGCTCTTTCTGGATGTCTCCTTCTCTCTGGTGGCGTTTTGCAGGGATGACAGTTGTTGACAAAGAGCCTCGTTCTCAGCTTCAAGAGCCACATAAAGTGTCTGGTTCATCTTCAAAACTGCAGTATGCGCTTCTTCTTTGTCACTTAACTTCTTCTCTAACGATTTTGCTTGCTGAGCCAGGCCTTTAACAGAAGTTTGATAAGTGTTCAGTTCCTGGTATGACTCTTTCATCTTCTTTAGCTCCTCCTGTAGATATCTCTCCTTCTCTGCAGACATCTTTCTCAGCAGTGCCATGGCCTTCTTCAGTTCGGTACTCTGATCTGTGTTTTCACCTTTCATGATCTTAAAAAAAGTCTTTTTAATTTTTGTTTGAGTGTTTCTTTCTATGTCCAGCTCTTCCTGCAACATTGTCACCTGTTCTGACAGACTAATAATATCATCTTGAAGCTCAGCAAGGACATCTTGATATAGGACTGTACTTTCCTGCTTCTCTCTCTGTAAAAGTGCCTCTTTTTCTTGAGCAGATCTGAGCTGATGTTGGAGGGCTTTATTTTCCACAAGGAGCTCAGAGGATAGGATGTCCTCACTGGCATTCAATCCTTGTTTTGCCTCACTGCGACTTTCCAACGTCGTTTTGCATCAAACTGATGTTTTTCTAACTTGAGTTTCGCATCATGCTGTTCTTTTTCCCAACTCATTTGCTCTTTGGCGTTCCTCGTTGAATCTGGCTCGTTCTGTTTCCAAAACAGTGCCTGGATATCATTTCACAGTTGCTATTGATGATGTGTGCTGTGACTGGGATGTAGCTCAATACCATTAAACATCCAGCCATCGGTTGGCACGTAGATGCTTCCTGCCACCTTCGGCATCTGAACAACTTGCAGTGCTTGCACGTTGTTTGTATGTTCTCTGTCACTTTGTTGCCATTTCTCATTCATACCGGAAACCAAAAATTCAGCCAGTAAATTATTTAAGAGTAGTTGAAGCAGCTTCTATGACAAATTCATCAGGTCAAAGCTACGCTAACAGCAACAGGCTAGTGCTTGCGAGGTATACAGTCACCGCGATGAGAAATACTTTGATGTTTTCATATCAAGAGCTCCCATATAACAATTTATAGAACATCGAACTATAGATCCCGACTAACTGCCTGTTTTTACTTCAAAGGAGATAAGGTGCAGAAGAGTGCAGCTGAAAGAGAGGTAAATATAAACTTTTTATTTTACCACAACTTGTGGTTGTGATATTATTGCCAGTGGGTGTAATTTATTAGCTATATATATGTATTTTTTTTAAGATATTTGTTTTCTCAACAGGGACCAGGTAATGAACAAAAGACAGTCAGAAGAGAATCATAATGACAATGCAGCCATGAAGACAGGTACACTTTTAAACACATGAAAAACCTCCATAAAAACAATGAAACCTAAATTTTGTCTTCTGTTTTGTTTTTGTTTGGGTTTTTTTCAGTAGAAACCTCAGCCAAGAGTTCAGGACAAAATGATGAAAAGGTAGGACTGTGGTTGATGTATTTTTTATTTATTTATTTTTTTAATTAGTGGCCCACAAATGACAGATATCAATAATCGGCCAATTGGTCTGTGTGTAAATTGTTTCTCAACATTCACAGAAAGGTTTGGACAAAATTGTTCAGAACAGCCATCATCAAAGAGAGACTCGTACAGGCCCAGGGTCAAGGCACAATTTGCATTATTGTGTTTGTTGGTCTGATATTTTAAATGTTTGACCATCAACGTTCTCCATCATGCAGATGGGAATTACACATTGCACCAGACGGGTTTCATTTTCCATCTTCAAGACAGCAGTTTCCTCTCGGTACCTTAAAGGGAGAAAAAAAGAAACACTCTTCGTCCCTACGGTTGATGGATGTTGACTGGTCTGACGGGC